TGACTAGGAAGAAAGCACTGGTGAGGGGGCCAGCAGGGGGGCCAGAGGAGCCAGCAGTGGCCTAGGGTCATGATACAAACTGATTCAGTTGTTTGTGATGGGTCTGGAGTGCGGTAAACTAAGCTGCAGTAACTTAGCCACATGATGACAAGGAGGGCAATTAATTAACAAACAGTTGCAAACTGAGAGACGGTCCCGAGTCTCCCTAGAGGTTTCAAAGGGGCCCTCATCTCTCATAGCAGGCGGAAGGGCAGAAAAACTCAAGTTTCCATCCTGATGCTAGAGCCACAGTGACTGAAGTTCACAGGTGAACTTCAAAGGCAGCTGGGTGCTCAGCTGAGCCTGACTGCTATGTCAATGGCAGGGCAGGGCCCTGCTTGGGAGCCTGGGACCCCTGGGGCAGGGAGTTCAAGGTGTGAAATGCAGAGTCTGGCTCCTCAGACAGTGCCTCTGCCCCAGCTGGGTCTGCGGGTGGGGCCTCTGCCCCCCGGGGAGGCAATGCAGAACCCTCTTCTGCAGGAGACAACAGGTACCTCTCTGGAGCTGTCCCCACGGCCTGGCCAGGCCACCAGGCTTATGACCAGTTGAGTCACCACATAGCTGGGCTGATGCAGGAGGAGAGGGGCTGTACCCCAGAGAAGCTGCCGGGCTCAGCCAGCATATACCACCAAGATGGATGGACACCGTCCGGTGAGGACAGGCTTTGGGGAGCCTGGACTGTCTCTCCTGGCCTCCACCACCACCACCACCTGCACAGGACTCTGCTCTTGGTCAGGACTGGGGCTTGGCCACGCTGGCACTCAGGAATCATCAGGCAGGTGCCCAGACTTGGAGTTCGCATCCTGTACCCTCTGCATGGGGTTGAGAGAGGACGGAATGCAAGGAGGGAGTCTCTCAACTCACTGCCTCCTCCCCGTCCTGTCCCCATCCCATTCCAGTGTCCAGCTGCAGCCTTAGGACCGTCTGCCTCGGGGGCAGATACCACTGCTGCTCCGTCCCCCAGCCCTGCCATGTGCTGGCTGCGTCCCCTGGCCAGGCTGGGTTCCTGGCCGCTGAAGTGCAGTGTCCCACCTCCCAGGGCTGCAGACAGACCAGGCACACTGGGCTGGCAGAGGGGACTCAGCACACACCGGCCGTCCTGGCCACTTAGTAGGAGGCTGAAGAACTGGCTCCAGGGTAACACGTGTGCACAAAAGTGCTCTGGCCACCAGTGTTCAGCTTCATGGATTTTCACAAATGGAACGTGTGCACCTGCATAAACAGCACCCTTGGCTGCCCTGAAAGTGCCCTGCCCCAGGCCCCTCCCAGCCATTGGGCCCCAGGGACTGCTGGCCTGACTTCTGATGGTCTGCAGGCTGGTCAGCCTGGAGCCGGCCCTTCGTTCTCCACCCGTGTCTCTCTCTGGCCGCTCTCTGCTGAGATCTACTCACGTGAAGTGCCCCAGAATCTTCCACTGGCACATACACCACCATGAACCATGTGAACTGCCGTTCAGTCTTCGGAACGGTCTCTGATAAATCAAACCCACCCCCGGTGTGTGGGGCAGTGTGCTCAGGGGACCGCTCGGGGCCCTACAGGTCATTTCCTCCCCCTGGCCATGGCCTCGGTGGCCTGTCATCCTTTCCCCTCTCCCCTTGGGAAACACCGGGAGGCAATGTCGGGAGGTGGCTCTGTGCTACAACCCGAGGCCAGCGGAGGCCAGCAAAGGAGCTCCGCAGGGGTGCAGGTGGGCTGGAGGCCCCTCAGTTGCCAGCCTCCCACGTCCCCCGCTGCCGGCTGCACCTGCTCGGGAGCAGCTGGTGAGGGCGTGCCTCGGCTGGGGGTGGGGAGGGGAGGAAGAGGGAGAAAAGCAGAGAAGGGGAAGGAGGAGAAGATTCGAGGTGCAAGAAGCAGCAGGCCCGTTGCGGAGGGGCTGGATTTCCGCAGGGTCCTAGAGGAGGTCACACCCAGGGACAACTCCTGCCCCAGCAAAATCAGCTCCGCCCTCCCTCCTGTCTTTACTCAGAGCCACAGCTCGGGTTAGGGGCCCTGACCCACACTCCCTGGGCCTCCCAGCCCCTTTCCCTGCCCAGTGATCTCCTAGGGACACCTTTGAAGCCATCCCTCACATCCTGGCACAACCCACTGTGATCCCTCCGCTCCCTCCCTGTTGACTGGGCCAGGCAGGGTGAGTGTCAGCCCCTCCCTGTGCCAGGTCCAGAAGGGGAGGAGGGGACAGGCCAGGTCCTGCCTCGCTGGCTCATCTGACATCTCAGACCGCTGCCCAGACTTGTGTGTCTGTGGACTGCCTGTTACTGACATTTCTTTGAATCAACTCACCTGTTCTGTTTTGTTCCTCCTGAGCATCGATACCAGTGAAATCAACGGTCGTGCGTTCTTTCTGAAGTTGTATGGTTGAGTTACAGAAGGGTTTTCTGTGACGTGTGTCCCCCACTGACTGCAGGACGCTGGCTGTGTGACCCCAGCTAGACTGGCAATGGCACCCAGGGCAGGGTCCCCGGGCTACGCCATCACAGCTGCTTTCATTAGCCGCTGCTTCACCTCTCCCCACGCCCTTACACACACAGCAGGCACTTACAAAGCAGCTCGTGGCTGCCACGGAGACCTCACCAGGCCTCTGATGTGGGGGCCCTGGCCCCTCTCAGAGCCCTTCACAGGCACTGTCTTCCAGGAAACTCAAGTCCACCAGCGAGATAGGCAAGAGAGCTGCCATCTCCATCCACATGGCGAAGGCAGAAACAAAGGCAGGGACCCTGGCCTTCCCAGGCTGTCCGGCTTCTCAGCCACACCCCCTCCCTGCTCAGGAGTCTAAGGCATAGTGACCCCCAAGCAGGTGGGCACTGTGAGCAGCTGTTTAAGATGGAGGTGCTGGGCAGGTGTGTGTCCCCAACAGGCCACATCAATTGGCTCCTGGGTCAAGTATAGGTCTCGACACAACACCCCCCCCTTCCCTGACCTTTCAGAAGCACCCTCCACTCTGCGCAGACCACCAATGAACGGCAGGGCCAGCATTCCTGGACCTGTGCATGGCGGGTATCTTTAGTCTTTGCCCTGCCTAGTTACCTGCACTGTGGTCAATGTCCTCAGGGAGCGACCCATCTACACTCACACCCAGAACCCTGATGAGCCCTCGGAGGTCTCCGGGAAGTGCACCCGACCTGGTCCTGGGGCTCTGGGTCCAATTCACTTTTCTAAGATAGAGTCAGCTCTATTAGTAAAGAATGCAGTCCCACCCCCAACACACACAGACCCTGAATCCATGACCTTAAGCACGTCATTATCTGGACCCAAAAGTGGGGGCAAGGAGGACATGAGGTGCTCCAGAGACCTGGGGCAGCACCTACCCCAGACAGGTGCACCCCTGGGTAAGGGAGAGTCCCATGGACCTCTCTTACTGGGGCTTGGCTGCCCCCCCCCCCTCCGTTTTCACCAGCAGGACTTTCCGGCAGCCAAGAAGTAGCTCTGGACCGTACATGCACATTTTGGCAGACAGCTTTGAAGACTTTTACATTTTCTCAAACCCGTTACTGTGCTTTTAATTGGATGTTGCCTGGTACTGCTGGGACAAGGGGTTCACAAAGGTCAGACGCTTGCTCCCCTGGACTGTCCTGGAAGAGGGGAGTCAGAATGCCCCTGAGTTGCTTAGTGGGTGAGTTCTCTGAAGCAGCTTTCCCTTTTTTGTCTAGTACTCGCGGAAACACATTTTACATCTTAAACAAGTACCCACTTAAATAATGTGCAAAAGTGAAATAACTGCTTCACAAACCAACACTCTATACAGGAGCCTCCCTGATTTTTTCTATTTCATTCTGTTTTATTTTTATAAAATACCGGTCACCACCCACTAAGCTTTTTTCCAGTATTTATTCCAGGATTCCAGGGGCCCCTGACCTAACGTGCACGGTGGAGAGGCAGACAAAAAGCAAGCGCACGTCGCACGCACAGTCGCTACTGGAGCTGAACCCTGGGCGGGGAAGATGGGTCTGAGCTCCCGGAGGGCGGCCCATTCCTCCACTTCACAGGCAGGGGGCCCGGCTAGGCCTCCGGAGCTCCGGGCAAGGCGACTGGCAGGCTAGGTTAGGCGGGGCTTTGAGGCCCTGGGAGCGGTGCGATTGACTTAAGGACAGGGAACGTCAGTGCAAGTTTGGGGGAGAGGCAGGGTTAAAAGGGAAGAAGCACTCAGCTCATGTTACTGACTGACGTGCCGGAAGTGTTCGTTACCTACAGCTACTACTACGTCCCGCGCCTGGAGGGCGCCCCCAACTTCGCCCCGGGGGCAGAGACCTCCCCTACCGCCAGACTCTGCCCCCCAAACAGGGGGCTGCGCTGTCGTCCTGAGGGGAAGGGACCACCCCCACCCCGGTTTCACCTCCACCAACAGCACAAGGATGTCCAACCCCGACTTTATCCAGGGAACCCCCGCGCTTTATCGCCTAGGATAGGGAAACCCCCCAACCCGTCCCGCAGGGGCTGGGGAAGGGGGAGGGGTTTGGACGCAACTCAGCTGGTCGACTTTCTGGCCCGGGGAGGGCAAAAAGGAGTGAGCACGCACCCGCGGAAAGAAAACCGAGGCCAGCACAGCAGTCCGCGCGCTCAGGCGCGGGGGTTCGCGTCGGAGCTGGCAAGCGCGGCGGGCGGGGCCTGGAGCTTCCGTCCCCGCCCAGCGCTCGGCGCGCTGCGCCCCGCCCCCAGTCCCCCCCAACTCCGCCTACCTATCCTGCTCCGCCATCCCTGCCAGCTTACCCCGCGCACGCGCATTCTACGACGCCCGATTCCCACCCCTCCCCTAGGCCAGCCCTCCTGCTCCTGTTCTCCCATCCTGCGCGGGGCCCGCCGGGAGCCGACTTAAGCGGGAGGTGGTGGTGGGGTGGGGGGGAAGCCAGTTGGGAGGGCGGGGCTCGCTACGCAGGCGCTGGTGTGGGCCCGCCCCCAGGCGGGCGGTGCGGCCATATTTAAAGAGCGGCCAGCGCAGTGCGCCAATGGGCTGCGAGCGTGCGGGGCGGGGCGTGGCGGCGCGAGGCCCCGGATGTGGCTGCTGCGGCCCCTCCTCCCCCGCGCTCCCCTCAGAGACCCCGGCCGCGCGCCGCCACTCACTAGCTGGTCCCCGCGCGGGCCCCTCGGGCGGCTGTGTGGAGGCGCGCAGGCGGAGCGGACGGCGAGGCGACCGCGCGAAGACCAGCGGAGCGGGCCGGGCCCGGCCGGGCGGCCGTCGCCATGAGCGGCTCGTCGGGTACCCCGTACCTGGGCAGCAAGATCAGCCTCATCTCCAAGGCGCAGATCCGCTACGAGGGCATTCTCTACACTATCGACACGGACAACTCCACCGTGGCGCTCGCCAAAGGTAGCGGCCCCGCAGCTGCCCCAACCGCCCGACCCCGCCCGCCAACAGCCCGCCCCCACCGGCGGGGCCCCCCGCAGGCCCCTGGCCCGGGCCTCCTCCGCCCGCCTCCACCCCCGGCCGCCCCTCCCCCCGCCTCCAGCCGGCCCTCACCGCCGGCCACTCCCTTCTTCTCAGGCCCGCACTTCCAGACCGTCCCCCGCAAGCCCTTACTCTCCAGGCATCCCCACCCGCCGCGGCTCGGGGACTCCCCGCCCGCTCCCACCCCCGGAGGCCCCTTTTCCCCGCCCTCCCGACCCCCCACTCCGCTCCCCAGGGGCGCGTCGGGACAATGGTCTCCCCCAGCCGTGGGGTTATTGTGTGCGGCCCGCCCGCCCAGCCGGCGTCGGGGTGGGGAGGTGGGGCGGGTCCGGCTTCCACGGCGCCGCCTCCTCCTTCGCGCAGCCTACCTCTGCAGGTGGGGGTCGGTTGCTGCTTCCTCCCCACCTGCCCGAGGGGCAGCTGGCGCGGGAACCAGGTCCCCGCAGGGGCGGGGCGAGGGGCCGGAGGCTCGCGGGTCCTCCCCTGAAGGCTGGGGGGCAGGAGAGCAGGCTCCTGCGAGCCCTTCTGGAATCTATTAAGCAGCCAGGGCCCGGAGCCTGAACTAATTCCGCGTCTGGGCAGAGCCGCCTGCCAGGACGGCGCTTTGGCCCGAGCGCCCCCACTTGCAGCCGTTTGCCGACCCTGCCGCTCTTTCGACCTGAGGGTTTGCGCTTTAGTGACGGGCTTGTCTCTGCGCCCTGGGGACCACTGACCCTCCCCAAATGACTGCGTTGTGGCTTTTCCCCGGCCTCGTGGAGGCAGGAGGGGGCCTCAAAGTTTCTTTGTCTGCATTCTCCAGGAAAGATGGCGAGTGTCCTTTCTCTGCCTCTTCCAGGGGAGCGCTGAGTGCAGCCGGATCTGCAGAGGCGGGGGGTGGGTCTTGTGGGCCGGAGAACCGGCATTCATCCTCTGGGGGTCAAGCCCGACCTCTACTCAGTCCACGGGGCCCCACTCCTGGAGCGCATTTCCTTGCAGAGCCAGGCGCTCAAGTTCTCGGTTGGGTTGCGTGGCTCCTGGAGGTAGTTTCGTATCACGAGGTACACGCGCATCTGTGCCCCAGGCGGTGGACTCCTTTTGGCCTGTTCTCCCAGGTGGAGAAGTGGAGACCCAGAGCAGCCTGGTCTGCAGCAGGGTCTGTTCCTAGGTTCTACACAGGCTGTCCCCAGGCTGGAGCCCAGGCTCAGCTGGGCTCCTGCAGCGGCAGTGAGGTCCCTCCCTGGACACAGAAGCTGGGGGTGGGTGTCAAGTTCTGGATGCCCCCCCCCACCCCGCGCCGCGATTGTTTGTGCAAGGGCTCCTCCCAGCCTGGCTGTGGGGGGGTCTGTTTGGTTCTCTCCTGAGAATACGCCAGTCCCTGGACCTGCAGTCAGACAGCAGCTGGTGGGCTCTCAGCCTGCGGCACAGACCTTGTGCTGCAGCAGGCGCTGGGCCTTCTGTGCTCATCCCTGGCAACGTGGTTTCCTGCGAATGCCAGGTGCAGGGGTCATTCCCTGTCGTTCCCTGTAACCCAGAGCTTTTCAGACCTTTGCAGATGGGGTTTTGTGGGTGTTGTCTGTCAGACACCAGGGGTGGAGTGGTAACAATGCCGCAACCCGGCCCTGGAGGGCACCCCAGGCGGGGGTTGCCCCCCCTGGAAGGCTGACCAGATGCACGGGGCTGAGGACACCACTGATGCCATCTGTCTGTGCTCCTCAGTGAGGTCCTTCGGCACTGAAGACCGACCCACCGACAGGCCGGCCCCCCCGAGAGAGGAGATCTATGAGTACATCATCTTCCGGGGGAGCGACATCAAAGACATCACAGTGTGCGAGCCTCCGAAAGCTCCGCACACGCTCCCTCAAGACCCTGCCATCGTCCAAGTGAGTGTGGCCCCCTGCCAGGGAGGGGGACGCGGCTCCTCCAAGGTGCTGGTGTCCGAGGGTAGCTTATTGTCAGGTGTTTGGCCAGAACACTCAGCTGGAGGAATGACCTTTTAATGACCAGCTGCTTAGTCTGTCCAAGCCGTCAGTGTTGCTGTGGAAGCCTTGGGTCCCAGGGGCTGCAGTCACATGTGAGAGGAGCGAGAGAGTCGGTGGGTGTGCGTGTCGGTGCCAGGTGTGGGGGTGGGAGGCTGTTCTTGGGGTGTCAGGTTTGTCTGTCCTTTCTGGCCAGCTCAGTTTAGAACCTCAGTGGCATGGTGTGCATGGCATGGGTGGCGCAGGTGCTAGCTGGGCCTGCAGGCTCCTTCTCTTGACCCTGCCCAGAGGGTAAATTGCTGTGCTGGGGGCTACCCACCTAGCCTGCAGGGCCAGGGGGTGTTTTGTCCAGGGTGAGCAGGGAGCCTGGGTTGACTTACAAGTTAAGTATGCATCAGCTTCTCTGCTGGAGACTCCCGGGGGTACGGGGTGGAGGGAGCCCTCAGCTGCACCTGGGGGACTGTAAGTCCTTTCCCAGCCACAGCCCTGCCCCTTCCTGTGGGGGCAGGTTAAGCTGAGGAGGGCCCCTCTGCCCTCTTGCAGAGCACTGACCAGCTGGTGGCAGGCAGTGGGGCTCTGGGAGTTGGGGAAGACTTCCACTGAGAGTTGCCTGGGCAGGTGGGGCTGGGGAGGAAATGAGAAGACAGCTGTGAACTCCCAGAGATCACCCAGGAGCTCGCCGCTGGGAGCCACCAAGCCCCTGGGAAGCGGGGTGGCCGATCAGGCGGTTGTCTCTGCCTGGACAGTGCTGTCCCGGCTCCTGGCGCCTCTCTCACGGGTGTGTTTCCTTACTCAGTCTTCCCTGGGCTCGGGCTCCTCCTTCCAGCCACACGTGCCTTACAGCCCCTTCAGAGGGATGCCGCCCTACAGCCAGCTGGCTGCCAGCTCCCTGCTCAGCCAGCAGTACGCAGCTTCCCTGGGTCTAGGTGAGTACCCCGTTCTCTCTGCTGAAGTGCTGCACCCTGATCTCTAGGAAGCGGGGCCTCAGCTCTGTGTGGGGGCCACCGAGTTCCTGTCACACTCAGCCTGTGGGGCACACTCAGTGTGTGACTCAGCACAACGTCAGACACTACAGTGCTAGGTGACCAGGCGCTGAGAGGAGGGGTGGCAGTTTTGAGTTTCGAAACAGACGACCCAAACCCACGTTCGCGTGGGTGTCAGCCTCGCCTGGGGGAGGCCATGACACTTCTTCTTCAGAGGCCTGGCAACTGCCAGGCGTAACTACAGTGCGTCTACCTGCCTGCCCACCTGTAAGCCTGTAAACATAAGACTCCAACGCAGCGCCACCACCACTTTCCACCGGTCCTCTGTCAGCACCTCGCTCAGAACCTCCCCTTCCTCCAGGTGGGATAGCCCTGGGCTGAGGCCACCTACGTGCACAGCGAGGGCCTGCCCAGCCCTGGCCGAAGCTCTGCAGCACAGGTGGGCCGTGGAGCTGGTGGCCTCGGCTCCAAGTTCTGCTGTAGCCATAGGGTGTGATTGGGCCCTTGCTTTGGGAAGCCCCGTTGCCGTCAGTGCTGCCTCTGGTGCAGCAGCGCCCTTCTTGGCCAGCTCCCCGTGTCCTAGACTAGGTTTGTGGAGCAGAGTGTCCCAGGACGGACACTCAGCCCTCTCTAAGCCTGCTGGACACAGGACGAGTTTCTCGTTACTTACCTGTGCCCTCTCTTTGTGCTCTTCTCTCCTCTCTCCTCTTTCAGAGAAGCTGGTAAGCCCTCCGGCCTCAGCCGCAGCCTCCAGCCCTAGCTCCTCTCCATCTCCACAGCCTGTCTCAGAGCCTGACATGTCCTCAGAGCCACACCAGCTCGCTTCCAAGGGTACGGCAGTTTGGAGAACTGCACACTGTCTTGCCATCCAGAGAGCGAGGGGTAAAGCGTGTGCTGCCACAGTGACTGGCTGTGACAGAGTGCTGAGCCCGTGGGCCAGTTAAGTGGTGTCTCTCGTTCAGCACGTGGCGCAGACTTAGCCAGTGCTGCGTGGAAGGAGGGTTAGAGAGAGCCAGTTTCCACCCGCACTGCCCCCGCCACTCCTGGCTCCACCTGCTGTGCAGCAGCCGTCTCCCGAGGCCTGCCCCTCCTGCAGGGCCTGCGTGATGGGGCCGGACTGTCAGGGAGCCTGCGGGGCAGCCCACACGCTGCTCTGGGGTTCGGGGCTGCATGCATTGAGGCCGCTTTAAAGTGGGGTGACCAGCCTGAGCCGTTGACAGGTGAACAGCGTGGGCCCGGTGACCGGCTCGTTCATGCTGCACCGCGCCCTGTCTGCTGGCAGTGGCCCAGGTGGGAGTTTCTGGGCTTCAGCTCGCGGTGGCTCTTCCCATTTTGTCTGAGTTGTGGTGTTCACACGTGTGACCAGAGGCACACCCCTTCCGCACTGTGGCGGAGATGTCTAGGACGATGCCTGTCAGTCCGTGCTTTGCGTGTGTTCTGCAGTTCACCAAGGAGTAATGCTTTCTTCCTGTGCCAAGGTACTCTGCATGTGCCGTTGTTCTTGGGACTCTGCAGACCGGTCCTGGGCAAGATGGTATAACTGCGCTGCCCATGTCACAGAAAGCAGGCAGGCCCAAGGTTCTTGTCCGTGCTGGCTGTCCGGGTGTGAGAAAACGTGTCACTCGGGAGGCTGTGACAGGCTGGAGGAGGAGCTTTGGGGCAGTGCCCCTCGTAGGGACCCTGCAGGGGCCAGTCAGCTCTGGCAATAGTAGTTGGATCTGGCTGTGAGGAATTGTCCTGGGCTGCCCCTCTCGGGTGGGGTCCCAAGGTCCATCGTGGCTGGCTTCCGTCTCCAGCCTCTGTGCACCCCCCCCCCCCCCCCCCCCAAGCAGAACCCAGCCAGGAAGTGTCTGCACTTGCACGGCTTCTAAGGGAACCCTCCTGAGGCTCTATTTTTGCGCGTGTGTGACCTGGGCCGGCAGTGCGGCCCCATTGCCAAGGGCAGCCTGGGGTCTTCAGCCTCCTCCTCAGGACGAGCCTTTCCTCTGGAGAACAGTGCGGGCTGTTCTCTGTTGTTAGTGCTTAGTTTCTTCTTTCCGCCTTTCTCGTTCCTTCCACCAAGACAACAGTGTTCTGCATCTCAGCTCCAGTGGCCGACCACTGCACTTTTGGACAATCCCAGACTGGGCGGTTCTTAGTCAGCAGGGACTAGCACGAAACACACTCTCGGATGGAGAACACACCAGCATCTCGGGACCCCCCAGGTTCCCTCAGGATCAAAACCTGTGTGGTGTCTGGAGAGCTGTTTCTGAACCACTGGGAGAGCTCGATCACGGCCCGGTGGTTTTCCCTCCTGTGGTTTCCTGACACGGAGCTGCGGGTCAGGGCTCTTGAGTGGAGCTGGCCTGGCTGCAGGGCTAGTGCAGAGGAGGTGCCCTGCCACCTGAACACGAGTGTTTGCGGGGGCAGGGAGCCATCTGCTTTGCTCTCCTCTCCACGTGCCTCTGCTCCCCAACACAGGAGCGGGTTTCCTGTCCGTCCCCGCCGCTAAGAGCCCCATGGTGGAGCAGGCCGTCCAGACTGGTTCTCTCGATAACCTGAACACCAAGAAGCCCTTACCCAGCAGCAAGGGCGCCGCGGGGGTGCAGCTCAATGGGCGTGCAGCCCCACCAAGCAGCAAGAACACCGGTGGTACCGAGACTCGCGTTCCCTGGGGTGAGCACCCTCTGCTGTCCACGAACGCTGCTGCCTGGGGCCTTGCGAAAGGCACTGAGCCCCTTGGAAACATCATGCGAGTTTCCAGGGCAGGCCCCTGCCACATGTCCCCTGGGGTGATGCCCCTGCTGCTATCCACCAGTGGCCTCTGCCCTGCAGGCACCCACCTCACTGTCTCTTCTTGTGTCGTAGACGTGAGCCAGCCTGCCACTGTGCAGGCACCAGCGCAGGTCAATGACGAGAACAGGAGGCCCCAGAGGAGGAGATCAGGTACCAGTGCTCCCCATTCTGCATCCTGGGATGGCCAAGTTGCCGCTGCCCACTTGCCCGCTGTTCTGGGGGTGCGATGGGGGTGGGGCGCCGGGGGCTGTGGCTGCGGTGTGCTCCATCCCCTCTCTGGCTCACCTCGCACTTAGTTTTGTCTGGCCAGTGGCTCCCAGCCGTGTCTGTCATTTCTCCTCACAGGGAACAGGCGCACCAGGAACCGCTCCAGGGGACAAAGCCGCCCAACCGATGTCAAGGAGAACACAATCCGGTTTGAGGGTGACTTCGATTTTGAGAGTGCAAATGCCCAGTTCAACCGAGAGGAGCTGGACAAGGAGTTTAAGAAGAAGCTGAATTTCAAAGGTCTGAGTCTGTGTGTGGAAATCACCCACCGCCCATCCCCCAAGGGGCGTCCACAGAGTGGGTCAGAGGACAACAGCCTGGGGCGAGGGGGGGGCCAGTTCGGGGGCTGCACCCTCCGAGGGTGACTGAGACGTGCCCTGTGGGGTGGACGGCCTGGCCCTGGTGGTCAAGGCCAGTGGGGGGTGAAGCTGTAGGAGGAGGTGCCACTTAGCACAGAGCAGCCGCTGCTGAGTGGCCAGGAGGGCCTGCCTGGGACAGAGGGCTTCATCTGCTCCCACAGCTCAGGGTGCCCTTTCTTTGTGCAGATGACAGAGCAGAGAAGGGGGAGGAGAAGGACCCTGCAGTGGTGACCCCGAGTGACGAAGTCCCTGCCGAGGAGGACCACCTGGGGCCCTCCTGCTACTACGACAAGTCCAAGTCCTTCTTTGACAACATCTCGTCTGAGCTCAAGACCAGGTGGGCAGGCACGTGAGGCTGGAGGGCAAGCCTCTCAGGGCCCCGCTCCCATTTCAGCCCAGGTGGACACAGTGGCAGCGGCACGGCAGCCCCCCTGGTTCTCTCCCTTAGGGCTGGGCTCCCCCCCAGTGGTTAGGGACTTAATTCCTGGACCCCGGCTGACCTTGCAGGGCAGGGCGTTCAGAGGGTCCTGTTGTGGGTGCTCTTCCCTGATGGTGGGACTCGGGGGGCCTGGCCCTGTGCTCTGTGCAAAGCACCTGACGACCTGGCATTGCCCATGCGTCAGCTGCACCGTGCGTGAGGTGCACGGAGTGGGTGTGCTGGGGGCTCAGACCCACCCACTCGGCAGGCGGGGTGCTAGGCCACTGAGCACTGGGGGTACACGGAACCCCTGCTGGGGATTGCCACCCCCTGTGCTGAGGCTTTCTGGAGGGGAGCATGGGTGGGGGGGTGCACACACGGGATAACGTGCATTGGGGAGAACGGGGTGGAGACGGGTGACGCAAGCAGCACGTGGGCCTCCGGGGCCTGTTCTGGGCGGGCCGTGTGGGGGTGGGGCCCACAGGCTGGGTAACGACCGGCTCCCACTCACTGAGGGCCCAGGCTGAAGGCGACTGCGTCTTCGCACAGGTGCTGCAGCCAGCAGCTGTCGGCCACCGCCCAGTCGCTTCAGCAGGGGGCGTCTCAGCCGGGTTGGGGAGGAGCTTGGCTTCGAAGGCCGGGCTGGCAGGTCCACCGCTGGGGTGTGAGGGGAGCGGGCTGGCGGCCTTGAAAGGAGTGGGGATGTGGCTGCTGCCGCTGCTGCTGTGAGTGAGACACTGGGGGTGGACGTGGGTCCTCGCTGGAGGTGCTCAGGGAGCACAGAGGACGCTGTGGCTGTACCGTGCTGGTCCCCGCCACCCCCAAAGCATCAGTGCATTGGTGGGGACCCTGCCCACGCAGCCGGCCCCTCCTTGTCTGGCAGCCTGTTCGGAAGGGATCTGCTGTGGGTTCCTGAGACTTCGGGGTCAGGCCAGCCCGGCGGCTTCTTTGCAGCCCTCACATCATGGACTTGTCTTGGGTAACCAAGGTGTGGCCTCTGCGCCCAGCAGGCTGTTCTGAGGACGAGCTGGCTGGGGAGCACCGGTAGTGTTGGGGATTGTGGGGCCGGCCGGCCGGCCCTCGACTATGTGAGGAGCACAGTGGCGTCTGGCCTTCAGTCTGGGTTCAGAAAGCTGGGGTGGGCACCCTTGCAGTCAGCTCCATACCCTCGTCTGGTTCAGTTCCAGGAGGACCACGTGGGCTGAGGAGAGGAAGCTCAACACGGAGACCTTCGGGGTGTCGGGGAGGTTTCTTCGTGGCCGTGGATTCCGAGGCGGATTGCGAGGGGGCAGGGGCAGCAGCACCACGAGGCGCAACCCGACTTCCCACAGAGCCGGGACTGGCCGCGTGTAAGCAGGCGGCCAAAGGTGAGTGGGGTCCCCTTGGGGTTCTCTGAGTGCGGATGTGGGGACGTGGGTTCCCTGGCTGGAGACCCTTCAGGAAGAGCTCAGAGCTGACGCTCGACCGTCTGCATCACCAGCTGCTGTTTGGGCCCTGGGGCCCAGCACCAGGAAATTGGGGGCAGGGGGCTTGCGACTCGAGTGGGTCAGCCAGGAGAGCTTGTGAGAAGCCGGGTTCTTGTTGCAGATGGCCCTGCCTCTGTGACGGGGTCCTGGGTGCCAGTCTGTCCCTGCCAGGGCCAGTGCGTACATAGAGGACTCTGTGCTGGGCTGGTGGGAGGTCAGCGCAGACCTGGCCCGGCTGGGGCTGGGGGGGTTGCTCAGTGTACCACGTGGTGTCCTGCCCCCTCTTCACCCACCCTTCTCCCCCCCGCCCCCAGGCTCTGGCGGAAGCAGCAGCAGATGCCACAGAGTGAGGACACTGCACTTCCGGGCAGGCCTAAGTCAGGTCACCGTCCACTGTTTTTGTTCTGGTCGTCACTCAACTTGGACTCGGTTCCGCTTATTTTCGGGGAGTTCTGGGGAGACCTCTTGGGCCTCTGGACCCCTTCCTCTTCAGTTTGCACAGTCCAGTCTACAGTTGTATTTTTGAAAGAAGGATTCGAGAGCGAACGCTCGATCCTCACTTTGACTTTAAAGATGGAACCAAATCTCATGTGGCTGCGTGGCAGCCAGGTGCAGCTCTCTCACCCTGCTGGCCCTGGTGCTGCTGGCCTGGCACCCTTGCTGCCACTGGTGGGGTCTCAGGAGCCAGGCAGGGCCAGCCCAGGGAGTGTGACCCCGGGCAGGGAAGGGGGCGTCTCACAGATCATGTTGTGTGAGTACACAGACCGCCTGCCGCCTGGAGGGGTGCTGCGGAGGCGGGGCCTGCAGGTGTGGGCACCCCTGAGGGCTGTGCGCACTCAGCCTGGCTCCCCAGGGAGTCTGGGTTTGGGTGGTGTCCCCGCCTTGTGCCCTGCCTGCCCCTGACCTGGCCAGGCGGGGCTCGACTCCAGCCACTGGCGGTGTCTCCTCCACTTGGAAATGAGGCCATGTTCCCTGTGAGCCCAGCTGACCGGGAGCACGTTCCTTGGAGCTGTAAATAGTTGTGTTTCTTTCATAGGAGGTGGGAGGGAAGTGGGCGGTAAACTGTCGCATGAGTACGAGGGGCACCTGGCCCAAGCATGCGCCCCTCGGGGGGCAGGGCGTTGCGGCGAGATGGGGCACCTCGGGGACCGACCCCCTGGGTAGCTCTGGAGATTTTGGTTCTGTGTTAAGTTACTGTAAAAGCTTGGGTTTATTTTTATAGGACTTAATGGCTGAGTTAGAATGTAGCAACAGGGCTGCTCTGTTGGAGTCATGTAAATTGTAATTAAAATAAACATGCAGACTTTAAGACTTTCTTCTCTACCGTGAAGTGAGTGGTCCTGTCTGGCTCTGCCTGAATCCCGTCATGCCCTGCTTGCCATGTGCAGGCTGGTCAGCCTCGAGGTCCACCGGTCTGGGCACAGTCCGGTAGCTGAGCCTCAGCCCTTGCCCCAAGTGGCTCTGCTCTTCAACACAGACTGACCTCCCAGAAGTGGCCTCCTGCCCCCCCACTCGGTCCCCCAGGGCTGTCCCGGACAGGTGCTTCCAAGCTCCCAAGTGCCCCCTGTGCTGCCATGGGTTTCTGGGTGCCTTCCGAAGCAAGCCCACAGGGATGGGCTGGGCAGCGGTGTCTGTCCTCCCACAGGCCTGGGCTGCAGCAGTCCCTGCACAGTAGCAAATTCCTGGCCACCTTCCACTTGCTCAGGCCACTGACATCCTTGACCAGGAGAAAAGATGGCCCTGCAGTGCACGTGTGAGACCAGGGTCTCCCTGTGTGTGGGGCACACCCCCGCCTTCCTCTGCACCACACACAAGGATTGTCCCCTGCTGCACCTGTTTAATAGGCATCCTTGTCTTCCCCTCAAAGATCTGGGCGGAAACCACGTGTTGTACGTGGAGAAGTCCATGTTGTCTCATACGCATGTGACTTAGTTGAAGCTGAGGCCTTTGCTTGAGACTCTGAATGGAGTCACATCACTGAAACGCTTTGACAGCTGCCTGTCCCGCGCTGAGCCACTGCCCTGGGGCCCGGTGGCTTTTTAGAAGGGACATGGTACCTGTGCCCTCGGGAAACGTGGAGTCAGGAGCTGCAGGCGTGGCAGAAAGCAGAGCTGTTCAGGGCAACCGGCAAGTGACCACGGAGCCGCACAGCAGCTGGTTTCCCGAGGGGTTTTCTGAGAGGCTCTGGGTGGCCCGCGGCTGCTGTGGAAGTGGAAGCGGCTGGAACAGCAGGGCTCCGCTCCCCCAGGGAGATGGCAGTGGCGCTGAGACTGGCTCCGCTAGAACCAGGGGTCTGAGGCTGCTTCAGAACAGCTGCCCTCAGCGCTTAACAGAGTGCTTTTGGGCTCCTGACCCCCATCTTATGCTAATTTGCCTGAACAAAGTCAAGAGAACCAGGTGAGCCTGTTGGGAAGCCTTGAAGGACAGCGAGCTTCTGCCTCCCTCAGAAGTGCCAGGTGCCCTACAGATAGCAGCTGTGTGTGGCACCCCGGGTGCCCTGGCGCCCCATGCTGCTGGACTCCCGAAAGCCCTTCCATGACCCCGAGGGGCGGGCGGGCAGGCAGGAGGCGCAGTCGCCGCCCAGGAGAATGCTGAGACCTACCACTCTCGGTCACAGTTCCACCTTGGGGGGGGGGGGGGCGGACACGCACGGCGTGTGAGGAAGACAAGGTTAAAAAATGCACGCGTTTATTGCAGACACTCAGCCAGTGGGGACAAATGCTGGAGACGCTGAGGTGTCGTTGACAGTCGCCCGCGATCAGAATTCAGAAGCCGCCCCGCCAGACCCCTCCGTCCATCAAGACGCTTTCTTCTGTCTCTTCTTCTCGTGCTCCTCCTTCTCCTTTTCAATTTCAGCAACGTACTTCTCGATTTCCTCAGGGTTTAAAATCTACCAAAGAGAGGGTTTCCCATGAGCCCCCGGGAGAGGGGCTCCGAGGCTCCCCACAGCTGTGCCCCAGGAGACCAGGCCAGGTGCTGAGCGGTGCAGGGCCCCAGGTGGGGGCGAGTGAGCAGCAGGAGCAGCCTGCACAGCTGCCACTGGCTTGTGGCAGCACTCGGGGGCCACCTGGGACCGGGGTTCAGGGCCCCCTCCCACCAGTTTTGGGGGGGCCCCACCCAGTGCCGATGGGAGCCGGCCCTGCCCCCACCCATTCCTGGGAGCCACCAGGAACACAGGGAGACTTGGCCTTTACCTTGAGCGGCTGGTCACGCCTCATGACGGCCAGCTCGATATTTTTGCCTCCTGACTGCACCACCTGGGGGGCGGGGGAGAGGACAGCCTCAGACAGCCTCACCCACCTCAGGACCACAGAGCTCCTGCACCCGCACCAGCCCCGACACACTCAGGACGGGCCAACACACAGAAGGCCCAGCACCACAGCCCGTGCCCCCTCCTGCCTCCTGCAGGCAGACTTTGGCATGGCAGGCCCTCTGTCCCACCCTGTCCCACCCTGTCCCACCCGCCAGCCCGCCAGCCCTCCACCCAGCCCCTCTGCCTCTGGCTCCTCCCTCCAGCACCTGCAAGGTCTCAAAGCCCTCCAGCTCCCAGCCAGCCTGCCCAGTCCCCTGGATTTCTGCTCCTGCAGCAGCTGGAGCCTGAGGCCAGCCTGCACGTGGGGGCTGGTGCAGCCGAGCGGCCCCTGCGGACTCCAGCCAGAGGGACACTGCCACCGCGAGGGTATCTTGCTGGCCTCCCCAACCTCAGAAGCAAACTTACTTCCAGAAGGGCCTTGATAACCAGCTTGATAGTCAGCCCATCGGTTTCGATGGCCTCGTCAGTGTAATTCTTCTCTAAAAACTCCCGCACGGATTTGGCACCCCGGCCGATCGCATTGGCCTAAAAGAGACGGCTGTTCTGTGGCACAGGATGTGACAACCCACAGAAAGCCCAACAAGGTGGCCGCAGGCCGCGTCCCGAGCCAGCTGGCCCTCACTGGTCACGGGTGGTATTTCCTGGTATCTCCTGGTCCACACACCCGTGGCCTTTCACAGTAAGGCTACGTCCGCCCAGCCCGCCGCACCACACCCCCACTCCCGCCGAGCGGCAGTGTCTGGGACGGGCTGCCGTGTGTGCACGCCTGTGTGTACGCGAGGCAGTGAGGGGCGGCCGCCCTCCCTGCCGGAGCCTCACCTTCCAGGCGTGGTACGTGCCTGACGGGTCGGTCTGGTACAGCCTGGGGGTGCCATCAAAGTCGAAGCCCACGATGAGGGCGGAGATGCCAAACGGCCTGCGCCCGTTGCTCTGCGTGTAGCGCTGGCGGGAGAAGGGGGAGTTGGTGTGTTGTCTCTGAACGACTGGCCCAGGGCCCGCAGAAGCCCCAGCTGCGCTCAGTGAGGGACAAGAACCCCCAGGCCCCTCTCGGGCCACGCCAGGGCCAGTGACGGGCCAGAGGAGCGACACCGTCGGCACCCATCACTTCCCGCACGGTCACGCCGACTTTCACAGCAGTGCCTGTGCTGGCCTGCCCCTGGAGCGCAGCCCAGGCCGCGCAGGAGCACCACGGCACTGGGTTGTACTGACAGCTAGCATTTCTCCGTAGGGTGGGGTGGCTCCTGGCTCCCGGCCCCTCCGCATTCCGAGCTGTGTTGAGAACTGCATTTGGGGGTGGCCCCGTGCCAGGCAACGAGCACAATGCCAGTAACATGGGCAGGTGACGCGCAGGCCTCAACTTCCCCGCAGGGATGCACGCTGACACCCACACGGCGTGTGGTGGGACACCCTCCAGGACGCAGGGGTGACTGCCGTGACCAGAGCCAGGTCTCGGTGAGGCGCACCTGCTTCAGGCTGGCGATGTAGCGTGTGATGTACTCCACGGTGACTGGGTCCTCCACCGTCAGCCGGTGGCTCTGGCACTCCACCCGGGCCCTGTTGATGACGATCCTGGCGTCGGCGGTGAGACCTGTGGTGACAGCAGACAGCGCCACTGTGCTGGTGGCGTTCACTTGGAGACAGAGGTCACACAGGCAGACAGCACGGGTTCCCTATGGCCCAGCACTGGGTCCATTGGCGGCACCAACCCCCGATGGACTAGGAGGCTGGATCAGCCCCCATGACCCTCCCTGAGAGCACTGGGAACCCCAAGACCCACGTGTGTGGGGCCTCACAGAGCCGGGCAGGGCAACCCGGGTTTGTGCCAGAGCCTCAGACGTCCCCAAACCGGACCCGGAGAGGAGAGTGCTGAGACCCCACGGCCCCCGTGTCACAGACGCAGTAGGTGTGGGAAACCCGACCTCTCTCTATAGACCATGCCAACGAACGGGGACACGCTGGTGACAGTGGAGGTGACAGCAGTGCCCACGTCCCGGGGCGGTGATTCCTGCATCCCCCACCAGGAAACTGCAGCCACCCATCCACTTAAATGCCCGAGCCCCCCGCCCTGAAGGACTGGGGGTCACCCAGTCCGCACGCCCCCACCGCCGCAAGCGCACCCGCAAAGGCCATGCAGACATTGTCGTCCAGGGCGCAGATCTTCCGTACTGTCCTCTCATCCTGCAGCTTGGCCACCGACTTCTTCTCCACCCCCAGGACGACGATGTCTTTTCCTCGGACCCCAACCTGGGGGAAAACACCCACACAGCACTCAAGGGTTTGCAGCGGCGGTGGAGCTTGGAGGGCGGGGTCCTGGCCCAGCCCACCGCCAACCACAGCCCTGATGGGCCTGTGGCCAAGCCCCCCAGGTGTCCTGACCAGCCAGCTGCCCAGTCCCCTGCCATTACTCGAGCAGCCTCAGTGACACCACTGAGAGTGCCTGTGTCCCTTCAACCTGCCGAGTCAGAGTCCCACGCGACACCTGGCAGCCCGAGACCTGGCGTTCATGCTGGGCCTTCTAAAAGCTGTGGCTCTGCAGCTGTGACCCATGCCACCCCCCATGGGGAAGGACGCCCTTATCACCTACTCCCAGGACAGCACTGTGTTTACAGCCAACACTGGACAGCGGAAGAGGAGGCATGAAAAGCATGGAATGTTGCCACCGCTAGTCAGGCGCAGACCCAGAGGGGCCAATCCCCGGGAAGAGCAGGGCTCCGAGCGTCCTGGGCTGGCTGATTCTTTGAGGTGGGGGCTGCCGTGTCCCCCCAACACACACCAGGAGCGCCCTCCATGGCCTTGGACAAGGGGATTCGCCTGCACAAACGCCCCCTGGGCACAGACCGTAGGGGTGGGAGCTCCGGTCTGCAGAGTCCAATTTCCAGGTGCTTTCTCACTTACACTCTCCCCGGTCTTCATGGTTCTCCAGGAGCTGGCGGGGTACGGGGGAGGTTGAGGAAAGCCACCCACCCGCCCTGATGGGCCTGAGGCTGCATGGGGTGAGGGTCAGCGGCCTCCTCACCAGTAATCTTTAAGCTGAGTTAGGCCACGAAATGAGTTTTGGACATTCAGTTCAAAAGATACTCGTGGAACGAAAACACCAAAATTCTCAGAGTTGTGTGTGCTTTGTCCGCCGGCTCAAACCACTGACATGCCAGGTAATAAAAAACTGACCGACAGGCAAACCGACAAGTGTCTCACGGTTCAAAGGGCAGTCAAAACAAAGGGCAGGTACCTGGTCAGATGCCACCAAGACAGTGGGTCAGTTAGCGCACTGCCCGCCTCTCCCAGGCTCCTTGTGCTCCGCGGTCAGACGTGGGGGGGAGGCGTTGTCAGGGGAACCGCACAGCTCAGAGCAAGACCTACCCCCCTTGCTCTGGAAGCCCACCTGCACCTCCAGAACAACTGCTCCTGGGAAAGTCCCTAACTGGGAGCGGGCTGGGCGCACTTCACCTAAATCACGAGTCACCTGCTTGCCTAACATTCTCGGAGCTCGCGAGTCCGCTCGCTGTGGGGACTCCCCGCGGCCACACCTCGACCAAGTGGGGCTCCCTCGTCTCCACCGGGCTCTCGCTGCCGGACCGAGGTGACCGCCAAGATGGCGTCACCACCCAGGCGCGCCTACCCGCTCCGCGCTAGTGAGAGGGGAAAAGGAAGGTGCCACTTGGAAGCTCACCAATCCCATCCAACTCGCGCTGGTCTGCACAGCACCCGTCGGTCACCAGCAAACCCTCACCTCGCCTGCCCTTGGTGACAATTTAGTGTTGGAAGGGCAGTTCCATCTGACTGGCCTGTCCCGCCGGCTCCCCGACCTGGACGCCCACAGTGTACAACGCGCCCCTTCCCACTTCCTTCATCAACATCAGCACCACGGCTCCTTTGCGCCCAACTAACGCCACGGAGCTAATTCCGAAAGATCGCTCGGATAAAAAGTATCCGAGGACAATGAGGAGACTGTCAGCACCGCCACCTAGCTGAAGCTCAGGGCCGGACGCGCAAACGGGCCCCACCCGGCCGAGGCAGACGCCGCGCTCCAGACGTCCAGGACGAAGAAGGACCTGGTTCCTCCTGAACCCCCTGCTATCTAGAGGCGCGCCAGGGCCATCATCGCTCCGGCGGTCCCCCACTCAGGGCCTCTCCGCGCCCCAGCAGCGCCCCTAGGCCCGCCCGCATCCGGCCGCCCCCGGCCCGGGCGCGAGGTTCGCCGCTCACCGCAGTCGAGCCCTTCTTCACGGCCTCCTGTGCGTATTCCACCTGGAAGAGGTGGCCGTCGGGAGAGAAGACGGTGATGGCGCGGTCGTAACTCATCCCGGCGAGCGGCGGGGTGAGACCTGGTAAAAGCGCACACTCACCACCGCACGGCCCAAGACTCGCCGCGCCTGCCCTCGGCACCGCCCACTGCGCTGCAAGCGTCAGGCGGCGTCGGGCAGCGTCTGCGGCGGCGGGCGGACGTGTGCGCGCCGAGGCGGGGCCGGGGTGAACCATCCACAGCCAGCCGCGGGGGACAACGCGGCGGCGGTGGGTCCCGCGCGGGGCGCAGAGTGGCCACCGGGGAACGACGCGCAGGGCGGGGCCTCGGGAAGAGGCGGCACGCGTGGCGGCCCGGCGGTGGGCAGGAGGGCGGCGCGGTGGCAGCGGCGGGGCGGACGAGCCCAAGGGGAACCCCCCGCGCCCCCGCCCCCCAGCGACTGCGGAGAATGAACACCTCAGGCGGCGGAGCGCAGCGGGAGAAGAAACCCCGATGATCTCGGGCTGAGCCCGGGCTGGGACCATGTCTGTGGCCTTCGCGTCCGCCCGGCCGAGAGGCAAAGGGGAGGTCACGCAGCAAACCATCCAGAAGGTGGGCGGGAGCCCGCGGGCGGGGGGCGATTCGGGGTGCGGGCGGGCGCGCGCGGGGCCGGGGCGCGGGCAGCCGGCGGGCGCGGGGCGCGAACAAAGCCGGGGCGCAGCCGACGACAGTGACCCCGCGGGGCCCCGAGAGCGCATTGCCGCCAGCCTGCGCCAAGTTCGGCGGGGGCTGCGGGCCGGGGCACCGGCGCCGGTCGCCTTCGGAATGGTATTCGAGGGGTCCGCGGCCAGGCTGGGCGCAGTGGATCTGCCGCCTTCGGGGTCGGGGTGCGCGGGGATCGTGGGCCATTGCGCAGGACGGCGAGGCTGCGCACCCTCGGGTTGGTGTCCGAGGGGTCGTGTCCGCGGGCCAAGCCTGGCGCAGTTGGGACCCGCCGCGATAGGGAACCCTGCGCCACGGACAAGGGCGCAAAGCGGCGTGACCGGGCGTTCTCGAGACGGTGCCCTTGGGGTGGTGACTGTGGGGTGGGGGTCTTGGCCCAGCCGAAAAGAGCCGGGCCCCGCCAGGTGCAGCGGAGGACCTTCCTGGCTGCCAAATCAATGGCGCAACCCGGCGGGCGGCCCCTGGCCTCAGCGCACAGCTTGAGGAGTGGACGGGGAGCTGGGGGCGACGGGGGCCCGGCCGGGCAGCGGGCCACGCTCCCTCTCCGCAAGGTGTTCGCATACCGAGGCACAAAGGGGTGCGTCCCGAGTGTGCGACGCCTTTGCGGCGTGTCCGGGGCCCTTTGGGAAGCGCACTACACCTCGGGGTCTACCTGCTGGCCCAGCCTCGCCGCCTTTACGCGCCTGTCAAATTGGTTTTCAACGTGACACCAGGGCCAGGCTCCTCGCCTAACAGACTTTCCAGACGTGTTTTACGGCCGTTCCCCGCGTCTCTGTGCTCGGCCTCACGGTTTTCCAGGGACAACGTTCACAAGGGAGTTGGGCGACGCCTTCAGCAAAACTCTGACGTTTTAAAATTTTCTGAGACTTTAAAACCCTGATACTTTAAGTTTTCTTTAGAAGAGAACTTCAGAAGAAAAAGAACGTTAGTCTTTCCAACTGGATTCTCTCCACGTCTGTAGTAGCTTTGTTGATTTCTAAGCCCGGAGTTCGTGGGGTTAACAGCAGAATCCCGTGGTTCCCACGGGCCTCTCACGTCCCTGAGAGGACTCACCCCGGTGGCCAAGGCCCCTCTTCCTTGATGATGCTGGGACCCCCTGGGCCCCGTCCACAGGATTAGCGACTACCTTTGCCGAGGCTGGTTCGACCAATGAGAAGCCTCCGTAAACTCTACACAGAAAAGAGGCCAGTTGAGAAGCAGCAGACACACAGACTTAAAAGCAGGGCATTTTTGAAATTTGTTCATTAAGCACTTATGCGGCGCTTAGTGCACTCCAGCCACTGTTGTAAGGGCTTTGCTGGTTTATATTCATTCTTAAACTCTTTCAATTCCGCGTGGTATGTACAGTCGTTCTCATTTTCCAGACAAGGAAACTGAGGCAGGGGGAAGCTAAGAGCCTGCTGGTCGGTGTGGGACGCTGACCATGACCCCCTATGTGGGGACACTTGGCTAGGCAGAAGGTCAGGTGCCTGTCCCGAGGGTCTGGCTTTTGGTGCTTCAAGGTGAGGAGCAGAGCTGCTCCTCTGAAAGACGAGTCTGCCTTCCGCACTCATCTGGTCACTGGCGCTTCTTGCCCTCCCCTTGTTACAGCTCCCCAAGTTTTCCAGGCAAAAAGCGCCAGTCCCGGAAATCAGGTTGGAAAGGGGGAGCCCTGCGGAGTGCCCCCCAGGGCAGGAAGACAGCCTGTTCTCCATGGATGGCTGGTCTTCCGTTCACATGGTCATCCGGTCTGTCCTGGCTGAGCTGGCGGTCTGTCTACTCGCCCCGGTGTTTCGACAGTGAACTTGCGTACCCAGGGCTTGTTTGCTTACTGGGAGCCTGAGAAGGGCATGGGAGGCACGTGTCCCCCACACTCCTGGGCTGTGTCCACAGCGTGTGCCCGTGCACTGAGGGAAGCCACTTGGCGGTGAGGGCGCAGGGAGTGCACAGCTTTCCCTGAGTGTTCGTTCATCTGGGTGGGACCCTGCCGGGCACACTCCTGCTCAGCCTTCCAAGCCCCACTCGCACGGCCCCTCCCGCCCGTTCCCTTGGCAGTCTCATGTCGCCCGCGCCTCCCAGAGTGTCCGTGGTCCTGGGTGTGTGTCGGTGGAGGTGCGGGGGAGGTGGCAAGGTCCGTGCCCTCGGCTGTCGTGACAGGTTACCCCCCCGCTCGGATGGCTGTGACAGAAGAAACTGTTGTTCTCGGTTCTGGAGGCTGCAAGTCCATCGTGTTGTTGTCGGGGTGGCCCCTTTCGGGGCTCTGAGGGAGCACCCCTGCCCCCCTTCCCTCTGAGCTGCCGGTGGGTCTTGGCCTCCAGACACATCACGCCCATCTGTACCCCTGGGCCTAAGTTCCCCTCTTATGAGGACACCAGTCAGGGGATTAGGGCCCACCTGACCCTGGCCCGATGTCACGTCAACGTCACCGCGTCTACAAAGACCCTGTCCCCAAGTGAGGCCCAGTCCTGGGAACCAGGGCTTGTTCGGCTTGAGCATATTTGGGGGACACAATTCAACCCAGAACAGAGACCGTGTGGGGGTGGGGCGGGGAGGAAGGGTCTGGAAGACCCAGGGAGTTAGTCGTGTGTGGTCCTGCCCGTGGTCTGCAAGAGGCAGGCATGAGTAGCAAAATGGAGGGCTGGTGGGGGGGTGCCGGCCGATCCAGGGAGCCTGGGCCGGGGGTGAGGTGGTTCAGCTGGCGGTGACCAAGCATGGTTGTCGTGCAGGGTGAGATGCAGGCAGGACTGTGCCTCGGTGACAGCCACAGGGGCCCTGGGGGGAGATGGCAGTGTCCCAGCAAAATCCTGTGGCCCTCCGACCTAGCCAGCTGGCCTGCAGCTCCCCATGGTTCGGGGCCAGGGAGTCCCCGCCGTCCACTGCTGTGCTCCCAGCACCGTTGGGGAGGACTTGGGACCGTCCCTGTGCTCCACGAAGCCCCGCCTGGGATCCTCGGAGGGGGCGCCCAGGGCTGGCACATAAGTGCCTCCTTGCTGCTTAGCACAGGCAATTGCTTAATAAGTGTAAATTTCATGGTTACTGTTTGTTTTGGGTTCTTGGTTGGTTTTCTGTGGGGGGGGGAGGGTGTCTCATCCTTCTGTCCCCAGCACCTCGTGCAGGGGGAGACAAGCTCCACAGGGGACAGGGCGGAGCTGACCGGCAGGTGGGCATCGGGGTGTGCGCCACCTGGGTCTGGAATAGGACAGTGACAGCAAGGAGGGCGGGCGCCGTGCCAGGGTCTGGGAGCGGGGGTGACAGGAGCCCAGCCAGCCCTGCCCACTGTCCATGGTGGGGGTGGGGGGCACAGGGGCAGAGGAGGGCTGTCTGGGCTGGGGGTCGGGGGCGCCCTGGGCTCTCAGACCTGGAACTCGTTGTTCAAGAACGTGGAATGATTTGGTAAGGAAGGTACATCGGCCATTTTCAAAAACTTCAGCTGTTTCCCATTTGAAAATGGCTCTGGGACCGGGAGCCTCCCTCAACTTGGCTAACGGATCCTTTCCAACAATTGTTACCAAAAGCGCTTTCTCTCTGGGGGCAAGAGGGGGCGCTGTCTCCTCACCCCAGCCCTCGGGGCAGCCCTGGGGAGGGTGAGGCTGGTGGTGGCCCGGAAACCTGGTGGTTTCCCTCCGGTCACTTCTCTCCTTTCACCCAAAGCACACGCCGCTGAGGGCGCAAAGGGTCGGCAGCAGGTCCCTCCCGGGTACTTCCCGGCAGCACCCTCTCGCCCCTCTCATTGCTGAGCCCAGTGGCTGCTGCTTCTTCAGTGTTTCTCGCTCTGGGCACAGTATGTTGTCCTCACCGGCCCCGCTGCTGCTGCTGGGGCAATGAAACAGCACGAGGCTCCTTCTCGTAGATCTGGAAGCTGGAAGTCCGAGGTCTCGGAGCCGCAGGTTCAGCTCTGGGGCCCCTCCCACCTGCCCCACCTGCCCCACCTGCCCCACCTGCGCTCTCTGGCCTTCTGTGTCCTTGTGTCTTTCCTCCCAGACTCTCCTTCTCCCTGGAGGTGCCTTCCCCGCTCCCCACCCACCGGTCCCCATTCCCTGCCGGGTGAGCAGTGGGGAAGGTCCAGGGGTGTCAGAAGCCTCCGGCCTGGTGGGTTCCCCAGCGTGGCTCAGGGTCACACCCAGCACCCTGGAGCCTGCCAGTCCAGCTGTCCCTTATCCGTTTGCTTCTAGAGCCCTGCTGCTGGCTCAGCGGACTCAGCCCCGGTCCCTTCGTCCCTGGGGGCGCTTGCCCTTTTCATCCCTTCCTGGGGGGGGTCTGTAAAGGTTCACTCCACATGGCTCCTTGACCCCCACACCCTGGCCATTTTTCCTGAGGGTTTTCAACTTAGCTGGGCCAGTCCACCGTGCCCTCCCTCCTTCTTTCCTTTCTCCTTTTTCTTTTTCTTTCTTTTTTTCTTCTCTTTTTTTGGGGGGTCATGTTTTGTAACATTTTCTCAGGCTGACCGATTTTGTAACATTTTCTCATGCTGATAAATTTTGTAACATTTTCTCACGTTGATAAAAACCTCGGAACGTCTACAAAGCTGGTTCACATCATAATCTGGTGCCACCGAGCGGCCCCGGGTGCAGCTCCTTGAGCCCCGCCCCCCTCCCCCCCCCCCCCCCCGCCTGAACATCCTATGCAGTGTGGTAGCCGCACTCTGCCCTCGGAGGGAATCTGCCAGATTACGTACGAGTCGGGGGCTGAAGCCGTGAGGCCTTCAGGGGCGGCTTTCTGAGGACGGGGGCTCTTGTCCCAGCAGCTTCCCTCTGTTGACCAGTCTGGAGAAAAGAGTCACAGCGTGTGAGTGTCCCCAGCACCCTTCACCTGTCGCCAGGTGAGCCTGGCAGGCCGCTCCGGGCTCACAGCGCCCCCTGGTGGCACTGCTTCTCCTAGGCCCGGGGATTGCTGGACCTGGAACCCGGGGGAAAGCGTGGGGAGGAGGAAGTGGCAATGGGAATACAGATCAGCAAGAGGATCCCCGCAGACCTGGAGGCCAGGGCGCAGGGGCAGCCGGCCTCGGCCCTGCCGTGTGGTGGGGCCAAGCCCTCCGTGTGCCCCCCACCCCCACCCATCTCTCCTTGGTGGGCAGGTGTGGGCCCAAGTTTTCGTAGGAGCAGCGCCCCCATCAGAGCCCAGTTAGGCGGCCGTGTTGCACAGGGAGGGCGTGGCCCTGGGGCAGCGTGCCAGGGTGCCAGCGTGGTGGCAGGTAGATGGCCTCTCTGCCCCCTGCCCGCAGGCTGCATGGCTGGGCACATGGAGACGGACAGCACAGGATTTTCCTTCGGGGACAGTTTCCGGGCTGAGGCCTTTGGACCGAGCCCCCAGTGGCGTTTGCTGGGGGCTCAGTCCCGCTGCTCCCAGCGGGGAGGCAGCTGCAGGGACAGGCTGTGCACATGCCTTCCCATCGCCTCGTGCATCCAGGTTCCCCTGGCCCACCACCCCCACCCCCAGCTGGACGCCTGTGTGCAGCCCCCTCCCCTCCCGAAGAGCTGGCTCTTGTGCGTCTTTGCGGTGCTCTGCAGGGATGCGAGCGACACCCCCAGGTGTGGCATTCACGGGCCTCACACCCTCCAGACGGGGTCTCAGCATCCTGCCTCCTTGCTGTGGGCTCCTCGCCCACCCTCGCTGGGCAGATGCACCGTGTTGAGGGCCCTAGATAAGGGGTCCTGGGGAGGTGGGGTCCCATCCGCAGGTGAGGGAACCTGGGCCCTGCCCCTGGGGGGTGAGGCGTGGAGAGGGCTCGGTCCTGTGGGCCGAGGTTCCACGTAGAGTGACAGCATGGACACAGAATGCCCGCACACTGAGGACAGGTGTTGGCTCGCCTCCTGAGCAACTGAGCACACGCCTCCTCGCCCCCAGCAGGGCCCCGTGGGGGCTCCTCCGCCCGAGCTCACGTCCACTTCCCCCACAGATGCTGGACGAGAACCACCACCTGATCCAGTGCATCCTGGACCACCAGAGCAAGGGCAAGACCGCCGAGTGCGCCCAGTGAGTGCCCCCTCCCCCCACCCAGCTGTTGCCGGGCGGACCCTGATTTTTCCCAGCGCTGGGGGCATCAGGCTGCGGTCACCTAAGCCTGCCTCCCTTGGGGGGTGGCTGGGGGTGCCCAGGCCGCTCTCCAGGGGAAATGGGGGTGTAGGGGGAGACAGGGCGGCAGGAGAGACCCAGGCTGGACACTGTGGGCAGCTCTGTGGGTGGTGGCTGGACACACTGGGGGCAGCAACTCCGTCCAGGTGGGCTCTCCGGGGCCAGACACAGAAGGTACAGAACTGGGCATCAGAGCTGCCCTCTGGGCGGCCCGGGTGAGCGGCTGTCACACCCACCTGAGGTGTCCTCGGCAGACGGAGCTGCTTCGTCTCCCCCAGTACCTTGTCAGGGTGGGGGGCCGAGTTAGCTGGGGTCACCTGGAGAGGGCTTATCTGCCCCCTCTCTGAAGAAACCAGGTGGCACCTCCCCTCCGGCCACCGTCTGGGAGTCTTCTCAGTGTTTTGTCATTGGGCCCATCCTGGACTGCAGAGTGCTCTGCCGCCTGTCCTGTCCCCTGGGGTCCTCTGGGGCCGGCGTCCTGGCACTGGCTGCAGGGCGAGGCTGTCCTGGGCGAATTTTGCTTTCACCCAGGGGACCAACCGGCAGGCTCCCCAGCCCACATTGCACCCCTGTCCCGCAGGTACCAGCAGATCCTGCACCGGAACCTCGTCTACCTGGCCACCATCGCAGACTCCAACCAGAACATGCAGTCCCTGCTTCCCGCCGTAAGTGGGTGGGCTGGGGCGGCTGCTGGCCAGGGAGCCGAGGTTGGAGGTCCAACCTGGCACGGCCAAGGTCCCCAACAGGGCGTGACACAGGGCAGGTCCTCCCGTCACGAAGGAGGTTGGTTGGAGACATCCCCAGAGTGGCTGCTGGTTGGCGGTGGTTCCCTGAGCTAACCACTCTCCCCCCCACTCCTGTTGCCTACAGCCGCCCACCCAGAACATGAACCTGGGCCCCGGTGCGCTGTCCCAGGGCGGCTCCAGCCAGGGCCTGCACGCCCAGGGCAGCCTCAGCGACGCCATTGGCACTGGCCTGCCCCCGGCCTCTCTCATGCAGGGCCAGATCGGCAATGGTGAGCCCCCGGGGTGTAGTTTGGGCTTGAGGTTGGGGCCGGCCACCACGTCGCCGGCCTGGACCTCTGCGCGGCCCCGCAGGGCTGGGCCTCATGCCTCCTGGCTGCCCCGCCCTGGCAGGTCCGAACCACGTGTCCTTGCAGCAGACGGCACAGAGCACGCTGCCCACGACCTCCATGAGCATGTCGGGCAGCGGCCACGGGTCAGGGCCCGGCTACAGCCACTCGGGACCTGGCTCCCAGAGCGTGTCCCTGCAGGGCCAGGGCGCCATCGGCAGCTACGTGTCCCGGGCCAACATCAACATCCAGTCCAACCCAGGTGACGCCCCGCCTGGGGCTTGGCGGGGAGAGGTCAGGCGGGGCCCGGCTTCCGGGGGCTGAGGCCGCTCCCCACTGCGGCTCAGGGAAGGCTGTGAGGAGAGCACCCTGTGCCTGCTGAGAGGACAGGCTCGGGGTCACTCGGGTGGGGTGACCGGGGGCGGAGCAGAGGAGTGGGGGGGTGAAGGGCAGCCAAGCGGCCTGGGCTGAGCACTTGGGGACGCCAGGTCCAAAGTGTGACAGCCAGTGAGTGACAGACGGCGGGCCCCAGAGTCTCGGCACAGAAAGGGCGGGAGGCAACCTCCCGATTCTTAGCACGAGTGACTCGCTGGAACGGATCACGTGCTGAGTAGAATAAAGGATGTCACTGTGACGGGCGACCCCGTCTCGCTTGCTCTCTGGCCAGGCTCCCGCCCACGGTGCTGGGTGTCGCTGCGCTGGAGGGTTCTGAGCGGGGCCGGGGGTGGACAGGCCGGGTGGTAGGTGTGTCGCAGTGGCGTTGTCTGAGGCACGGGGGTTCATTGGCGGAGTGTGTCGGGGAAGAAGGGGGACTGTCTCGGGCCCGGGTGGGGTCTCGGGGCGGCACCCCGGGAGCCTCTCGAGGTGACTCGGTCTGTCGTGTTGCCCAGTGTCCATGATGCACCAGCAGGCCGCCTCGTCCCACTACCCCTCGGCGCAGGGCGGCAGCCAGCACTACCAGGGCCAGCCATCCATCGCCATGATGGGCCAGAGCGGGCAGGGGAGCGGCATGATGGGCCAGCGGCCCCTGGCGCCCTACCGGCCCTCCCAGCAAGGTACTGCCGGGCGTGGGGGTGACACTGTCCGTGTCCGTCGTCATCCGCGAGGAGGACGCTGAGTGTTGGGGCTTCGGGGGGGCAGTACTTCCCCAGGGGGCTGGTGAGGCTGGAGCCTGCTGTGGGGGTTGCAGGCAGGTGCATGGCGGCGGAGGGGGTGGGCTGCTGTGTCTAAGTGGACAGTCCAGGGTGTTGAGGGCTCGGTGTGGGGACAGTGCCCTGGTGTCCCCAGGGTGGCTCAGTGGGCCCATCAAGGAGGTGTTGGGGGGGGAGGCCCCGAGTTCATGCCACCTGCCCGCCCGCCCGCAGGCTCCTCGCAGCAGTACCTGGGCCAGGAGGAGTACTACGGGGGTGAGCAGTACGGCCACGGCCAGGCCGCCTCGGAGCCGCTCGGCCAGCAGTACTACACCGACGGTGAGGCTTCGGGCCGCCGGCCCACCCTCGCCGCTGTGTCCGGAGTCCCCGGCCTGAGTGTGGCTGGGCTGGAGCCCAGTCTCCGCCCAGGGACACTGCCGGCACTGGCTGCAGCCACGCACCTCCCGGGCTGCTCCTCCCTCTCCCCGGGAGGCAGCCAAGTCCCAGGCTGAGGCCGGGCCGCCCTCTGAACAGGGGGCTCTGGACACTTGAAGGAAGGGACACAGTGGCCTGGCGAAATGCCTTCAGGACAGAGGCAGACCTGGTCTGGTTGCTTGGGGCTCGTCACACATGGCCCCCAGCTGCTTGGCGTAACTTTGACCAAGATGCCCCTCTTCATCATCACCTTGCAGTCATCTTTAATTGTCCCAGGGTTTTTGGAGGTGGCTTTTACAGTGGTCAGAGGGGGTGGCTGGGAGGGGACCGGCTCCCAGACAGGGACCTAGTGTGATTGGGGTGGGGCTGAGACTAGCTCAGGGCCTCTAAGGGGCCACCCCCGGAGCAGACGGCACGTGTAGTAACTACACGTGGGAATTGTGCAGTAACGCTGACAGCCAGCGGCCACCAGCACTGGTCACGTCATCAGGCACTGAGCATCTCACTTAAGTGGACCGACCATGGGCGTGGTCTGTGGGGACCAATGCATGTCCAGCGCTGGCCACTGCCTGACCCCACGGAGCTGCCGTCTGGCTCACGGCTGTCCCCCGCCAGGTCAGGCGGTCAGGCCCCTGACTGCCGGCCACCGCCTGCTTACAGGACACGGAGACTACGCCTATCAGCAGTCGTCCTACTCAGAGCAGAGCTACGACCGGTCGTTCGAGGAGTCCACGCAGCACTACTACGAGGGCGGTAAGGAGCGCCGCAGCAGGCTGGGCGGCGGGCAGGAGCTCGGGTGCCGCCTGGCAGGCTCAGAGTGGGGCAGAGCTCCGTGAGGCCGCGCTGACCTCCAAGAGTGGGAGCTTAGATGGAGCCCTCGCCCTGCGGGGCGCCAGTTCTTTTTTTAACATTTCTGGATCCTTCGAAGTTAAAGCTGAAATTTCTGACTGCGTTGTCGTCCCTGAAATCAAAGAGCTCAGACCTTGTCCCCCCAGTCCCGTGGCTGCCAAGCTGGCATCCTGGGTTCTTCTCGGGGCTTCACCCGTGGGGGCCAGCGCACCTGCCTGTGGGTGGGCATTGGGAACAGTGGAGACAGCTCCTCCTGGAAACAGCCCCCGTGGGACCCCCGAAGTGCGCCCTGGCTCAGAGAGTGGTGGCTTTATAGAAAACTTCAGCCAGCGAGGCGATCACTCATCTGCTGCTCGGGCCTGGTTTGCGATATGGTCGCTGACAAACAGCATCTCCCCCCAGGGAACTCGCAATACAGCCAGCAGCAGGCGGGGTACCAGCAAGGGGCGGCCCAGCAGCAGGCCGGCTACCAGCAGCAGTACCCGAACCAGCAGAGCTACCCCAGCCAGCAGCCAGGCTACGGTAAGAGGGGCGCTGCCCACGTGGCCAGCACACAGCACTGTCCTTGGGCACATGCCTAGGACACGTTTGCTTGGGGACAGTGTCACATTTGCAGAACAGCTGCAAAGACAAGTAGTGTCTTGTCACTGGCCTCATCCAACCGGCATGACCCCCAAAGAGTAGGCGATGAGTTCCTGAAAAGTGAGTTCAGGGAGTGCCCCTAAAATCCCTCTATCCACAACTGCAGCACCTTAGTTTAGCTTAAACTTGACCCCACACCGCTCACCCAACCAGAGCCAGCTGTCCCCTCTGCGCACAGCATGCTGGGGCCTCCGGTCCGGCTGTGCCTCTGAGGGAGCCTGCCGAGTCGCTGCGTCTCCACCTTCCCTGCCCCTGACCCCTCCTGGGGATGCTCTGGGAAATCGGGTGTCCTGGCAGCCCCGCCCATGAGCGTTCCTGTGAGGCCCACAGGTGCCGCCGACGCGGCGGGCAGGAAAGACAGGTCAGGGCTCTGGCTCAGCCTTTTACAGCCGTGACTGAAGGACTCGTGTCTTCTGGAAACTTACTCGGCCTTCCTGGGTCCTCCCCATAGCCTCAGCTCAGTCCCCCCCGGCAGGATCCCTGTCTGTCTTTCCCACCTGTATTCCCTGGTCTCTGTACCTCACGTAGGCAGTGACCGCCATGACAGAAGCACTCAGGACACCCAGCGGGGGTGTGGGGCAGCGTCTGGTCCTGGTGGGTGTGAGTGCTCTCTCCAGGCCGACTGTGCCACGGAGGCGCGGGTCGCCGGTCTGCAGCCGGCCAGGTGGCCTCATGGCTCCCTGTCCGCAGGCCCGGCCCAGGGAGCCCCTTCACAGTACTCCAGCTACCAACAAGGCCAAGGCCAGCAGTACGGGAGCTACAGGGCGTCGCAGACCGGCCCGTCCGCGCAGCAGCAGCGGCCGTACGGCTACGAGCAGGCAAGCCTTCCGCACGTTCCCCCACACGCAGGTCCGCGTGTCTGAAACCGGGCTCCTGCAGGCTCACGCAGAGCAAGGAGATGAGTTGGCGGGCTTCCTCGGAGGTCACTTGCAGTGTCTTTCTCTGGTCCTGTGAGGTTTTTAATAATTTCCTCTGCGTGTAGCCCACTCTGGTCAGACAGCTGGCTTGTTGCATCCTCCGCCCACACAGACCCCAGCATTTTCTCTGGCCGTGTGCCCTCTGCTGCATGCCGGGGACACACGGTGACAAGACACAGGTAGCGCACTTCTAGAGACTGGGTCTTGTCAGACAGAGCCAGGCATGGCTTGGGCGCCAGGATGGAGCCAGGCAGCTAGTTCCAGGAAGAGGACCTAGGGGTCCAGGGGAGAGAGCAGCAGGGGTCGGGGCTGGCCAACACCGGCTCGGGGCCCTCTCTGCGGAGGAAGCCGGCTGCCGCCCTGTTTGCAGACGGGGGCAGGAAGCCTGTCGGGCCTCCTTCCTCTCGTGGGGGGCAGGGCGGGGGTGCTCCCTGAACTCCTGACTGAGGCGGGTAACCCCTGTCCTGGTCTCTTTCAGGGCCAGTATGGAAACTACCAGCAGTGAAGGACAAGGGTCCTTGGTGGAGCCTCGCGCTGGTGTGTCCACCTGGCACGGCCGGGCCTGTGGCAGCTCTGATGACCTGTGGCCTGTCAGTTGCCCCTTCGCCCCACACGTGTCGCATGTGAAGCGTGCACATTTCATGCTGGGTATGACGCCGAGCGTGTGCTGAGGCGTGAGACCGCGCTCCGGTGGTGTGACGTGCCTGGTGCTGTGTATAGTGTCATATGTCCATACGGTAACGGGGAAGTTGTCCCTTTTTGTCCCCCCTCAATGTTTCTAGCTAGCTTTAGGGGTCCTCTCGTCATCAGAGCGTTCTGCGCCCAGCGATGGGACAGACGCCTACAAGATGCCATTGTCAGTGTTTCCACATAGACAGACCTTGGGTCCAGACCTCCTCACACTGCTGTGATACGGGTCAAAAACACATCCCTTGACCTGTTGACGCAGCCCTGGGCGCCGCGCCTCCCGGCCGTGGTGGGACGGGGCTCCCGCCGGGGTGGGTCTGCTTCTGTTCATTAAAGCCTACATCTGCTCCACCCGGGCGGCTGCACCCCTGGGCTGCCCTGTGGTTTCCAGCGCTCGCCCCGTATCTCCAGCCCATTCCATTTACCCGGAAGGTTACCTGTGCGCGCTGCCAAGGTAATGAGGGATCAAAGACTCTGTTGCCCACGCAGGCCGCGATCGTGCCTGACCCAGGGGCTGGGGGGGACAGCCGCAGCAAGGGGAGCTCTCAGGAGTTGCCCAGGCTCCGGCCCTTGTTGATCTGATGGTCATTTGGGGGGTTTGAATATGTGATATTCCCCGTTCTAAACTTGTAGCTCAAAATAGCGACGCCAGATTTTCCACACAGTGGAGTTGTTCGTTTTTTCTTCCGGGACCTGCTTGCTTAGATCTCCAAGCAGGCAGGGGTATTTTGTTCATTTGTTTTGTTTTTTGAGGGATATCTGAAATTCACATCTCTTATTTTTTTAAAAAAAGATTTTATTTATTTATTTTTTAGAGAGAGGAAGGGAAGGAGAAAGAGAGAAGCATCAATGTGTGGTTGTCTCTCATGAGCCTCCTGCTGGGGACCTGGCCCGCAACCCAGGCATGTGCTTTGACCGGGAATCAAACCGGCGACCCTTTGGTTTGTAGGCTGGCACTCAGTCCACTGAGCCACAACAGCCAGGGCCACATCTCTTTTTTAAAAAGAGCCCCACTGAGTTTACTGTGCTTCCTAGTGAAAAGGAAAGGTTTTATAGAGAGAAATTTGAATAAGTTTTACATTCCCAGGATGTTAAATCTCATTTAAATTCTGTGCAAACATTGAAGACAGCTCACTAGGGAAAAAAAAGTCTGGTCAGGAAAAATCCTACATTTCCCTTAGTAATACTGACATTTTATCAATTTTTACTTGGATAATAATGCCCACTTGTCCTGTAATCCTTTACAAACATCCTTGGATAGTGCTGACATATTTCCAGGAACGACCAAGAAAATACAAAAAATAGCTAGTTCTTTATACTTCACATCTCCTGGGATAGAAGCATTTATTTTATAGGCATATGGGTGTGAAGACCCTAAACACTGGTAAGGGCTTAAAAGTTCGCTCTCTCGATTAAATCACCGAGTGGGAGTCCCCAACTGCTGAGTGACAGGCACTGGCAGTGTTGTGCCCCTTGATCTTGTTCCGTTTTTTTCCTGACGGGTTTCGTAGAACTAATTTGCAAACTCAATCAAGGACTAAAATTTCCCACTGAAAATGTTCAACGTCTTAGAAAACTATGAAATTAGTCTATTTTTATTCCTTGCCATCCTGGGCGTATGCCTTTTATGTGTGTGTGTTTTGTTTGTTTGTTTAAGTGCTGTATGAATACTTTTTTGAAAAGAAAGGGCACTGGAAAGTTATCCCGAAACTTCAATCTGAAATGTCTTACATTAAGAATTTCTTGAATGTTGTGTATATATTTTAAAAAGCACTTTGTGAGATAGTTGTACATTTATTTCATTAATTTATACATGATTTTGGTGTTAATATATTTAAGGATTAATAACAATATTTATTTAATGTGTTGTCCGTTTTTTAAGTAATATTGTGGAGGAAGTGATGGCCACAGCTGTTACCATTAGCTGTATTACTAATTTTCTCCTGCCTCACCCGAACGTTTGCAAAAGCTGAGGCTGAGATGAACTGTCCTGCAGGGTGGGGGTGGTGCTTCGTTGTCATGACTACTTCCGAAGAAGGCCTGTGGGGATGCAAAGGAGGACTGAGGAATTAGCACTGTCCTCGACACCCAGCAGATCACAAATTAGAAAAGTGACCAGTTTTCAGATGTGCTGGCAGCTTCCTGTCGGTATGCAGAAGCTCAGCGCCCACAAGCTGGCCCCTGACCACCAGCGAAGCCTGACACCTCCAAGAGCTGGAGCCTGCGCCGGCCTCAGGTTGTGCCGGTTTTCATTGACCCAGCTGTCAGTGTTGGGCGCCCGCTCGGAATTGTGCAGCGTGGAAGACCCTTTCTGCTTCCGTTTTCAATTGTTCACCCATTACTTCATTTCTATTTATTGAACAGGTCGGGATTTGTCTTATTTGTGAGCACAGCACATTTTTTTTTGAAGTTCATCTTTCATTTTTCCCCCGCAGCCAGAATTTGGCGTATAAATTGTTTATGCTTTTGGTGTAATTAATAAACTGGTTCTTCAAAAGTCATCCTAAAAAGTGAGTGTTCTCGACGTCAAAAGGGTCGATGCGCTGTGATTTGCACCTGGACCCAGGTGACTGTCTCCACGGAGGGTCGCCTCCCAGGTGAACCTGTTTCCTGGGCAGTGTCCAGCGGGCCACCGGCGGCCTGAGGGCAGGCTGTCCAGTGCAAAAAACAGCCCGCGGTGGCAGGGAGCTGACCCCGGGCGCTGAGTCCACAGCGTTAGGTGACAAGGAGGGGCCGGGGAGGTAATCCGATACCACACCTGACCTAGGACGAGGACCCAGCGAGCAGGCCGCTGGCCGAGGCGGGGGGCGCTGAGAAGGTGGACTGGGGCTGGAGGGAGCGGCGCTGGACGGCCAGGCCCGGTCTACCGCCGTCCCGATTTGGTCCCGGGTCTCGCGACCCCAAGGTCCGGGCCGGGGCGCTTAAGACGCCCTGCGCAGGCGCGGCCCCGGCCGGCCCCGGAAGTTGTTGTGGAGCGACGGCCGAGACCCCGGAAGTGATGTGACCTCCCCCGTGGGTGAGTGCGAGCGAGGGGTCCGTGGCATTGGGGGCTCGAGTGGGTGTGGGGGGACGCCGGAAGGACGGAGGGACCCAAAAGAGGCTCCAGCGGCGCCGCCCGGATGACTCGCCATCTCCATCCTGCATGTAGAGGGACGGTCACCGCGGGCGAGAGCCGGTCCGGTGTCCCGGCGGTGCGCGCGAGCGACCGGTCCGTGGGTTCCGAGTGCCGGGTCACATCTCCTTCCTCCTTCGGTGCGCGCAGACAAACTTAAAGAGTGGGGCGTTTCCTTTGGTCCGCGGTCCTCAACATTTCTTCTGAGCGTTTTTTAAAGATTTTATTTATTTTTTAGAGAGAGGGAGAGGGAGGAAAACATCAGTGTGTGAGAGATACAAGGATGGGTTGCCTCTCGCTCGCGCGCCTCCCCCACCCCCACCCCACAGTGGGTGCAGCCCGCTCCCCAGGCAGGTACCCTGACCGGCATCTAACCATTGATCCTTCACATGTCGGGGTTCAGTCCAATGAGCCGCACCAGCCAGGGCTGCATGTGTCTTTAAAACCCATGGCACAGAACGTCAGCAAACACGCACGAAGTTCTGATAAACATTTCGTTAGACAAAAATAAAGTTTTATTGCCAATGCAGCCCTCCACGCGGGGCCCGCAGTCTCACTCTGTAGGTCTGTGTAGCAGCAGACAGGTCTCGCGTTCACACCAGTCAGCTGGCGGGGATCTGCCTGTGCTTTGGGAAGGAGGGGAAGCCGAGTGTGATTCTTTTCCACGTAGGTTAATGCTCAGAGCCATTTGATTTTTCTGAAATTACCCTCCTGAGGTGGTTGTGTGTGCATAATTACACTTTGAAGATTCCTACTGTGAAATTCAGCTCAGCACCCTGCCGGTGAGGCGAGAGGGCTTTGGACCATCTGCTTCCCTTGAGTCTCAGCATCCCCTGCTTTAAAATGGGCATAAAAAGATGTATAGGTCAGGAGCCATGACCCCACGGCATAAAATAACTTAAAGAGGGTTTTTAAGGGAGAGTGTGGGGCAGCGGAGGTGGTGTTTCAGCCTGGAGCAGTGATGCTGAGCCTGAGGGGAGGGGCAGTTACAGAAGACCGCAGGGCATACAGGGCTCCCCTTCAGTGTGGGCTTGGTGGGGCAGGGGCTGAGAAGTCCCCCTCCCGGCCTCCTGCTCCTCCTTCCAGTCTCTGCCCGAAAGCAAGGGAGCACTGCTGCCCCTCCTGCGGCTGTTGTGAGGAATGAGCCTGTGAATTTCCATGTAAGGTTTAGCGGGGGCTCCTGGCAAATGATCGTCGCTGCCTCGGCCCAGCAGATCTGAGCCTCACACTGCACAGAACAAAGCAGTTCATGAAGTGCAGCCCTCGCCCGTGTTGACTTGCTGCGGGCAGCCTTTCCGAAGCCCCATCCTGCGTTCCAGGTTCATCTGATTCTGACCTGGGCTTCTGCACAGGCTTGGCTTCCCCAGCTGGGGAGACGGCCGCCCACAGATGAATCTTGAGTTCACTGCTCTGAGTTCACACCGTGCAGTGTAGGTGGTCAGTGTAGACCGGCGCAGCCCTGTAGGGCTTTCTGTGGCTGCGGACACCTTCCCATCTGGGCTGTCCGAGTCGGTGCCCATCGGCCACACGTGGCTGTGAGTGCTTGGAATGAGGAACTGAGGTTTTGCATTCTTTAAAATTTTAATTGACTTAAACCAGGGGTGTCAAACTCGTCACCGGGGGCCACATCAGCCTCACAGTTGTCTTCAAAGGGCCGAAATAACTTTAGGACTGTATAAATGTAACTGCTTCTTGACTGTTAAGGAGTTGAAATTACATTTGGCCCTTCAAAGGTAACTGCGAGGCTGGTGTGGCCCCGGTGAAGATGAGTCTGGCACCCCTGGCTTAACCTGAGTAGCCCCGTAGGGCTGGTGGGCAGCTAATTGGACGGTGTAGGTGCAGCATTAGAAGGACAACGAAGACTAGATGGCAGCACGAGGCACGGCTGAATGTGTTCAGCTGGCAGGGGGCGCTGCAGGTGCAGGTGCAGTTGAAATGGGGAGGGTCAGAGGGCAGGCCGCTGGCTGGCCTTGCCGTGGATCAGCTGCCCACCTGCTGTCTGCCCTCCTTCTTCAGGTCTCATGTCCTCGGGGCTGGGGGCCTGGTGTCCGACACTGTGGCGGCGGCGGCGTGGCTTCCCAGCGGGCCGAGCAGCGGTGTTGCCAATCAGTGAGCTGGGTTTTTCTTTCCTCCAGCCACCGTTTTCACACTCCGCCCCCGCCCATCCCATCCCACAGTCCGGGGGTAGGTCCCTTGTGCTCCCTTGGACCTCAGTGTCCTCATTTTCTTTTTTTTTTTTGAGGGAAGGGGGGGGGAGGGAGAGCAAGAGTTTCACCGAACCCGATAGCACGCCCCACCCGCCCCCTCATTTTCTTTACCAAGCTGCTTGGAGGACTCGATGACCTAACCCCTGAGAGACAGCCAGGCCCGGATCCTGCACACAGGGAGGCAGAGGGTTCGAATGTTCGTCACTGGACTTGTTTGCAGGAACCTCTTTGTGACTGGTGTTACCTTCCGCCAGTGCAGGTGTGTTCCGCTCACTTGTGAGACGGCGGTTGGTTTCCTCTGCCACCCTCGTGACCTGCGGCCTTGCTCAGTTCACATGTCCCGGTCGAGTTTTACAGATTCCTATGGAAACACCTTCTGCAGTTTGTCTTTTTCTAAAACGAGTCAAAGGGCAGTGTGTGCAGTGCTGGACGCTGGGCAGTGAGCATGGCATGGGTTGTGGGCCTCTGTCGGGGTGACAGTGTCCCCTCCACTCCCAGTTAGGTTTCATGTCTCTGCTCACGAGTGGGTGTGGCATCTGTCCGACACGTGTGGCCAGTGTGGGGTCTGACTGCTGGTGAATCTTGTGTCCCAGGGTCATCCTGCGTGGTCTTCAGGTACGTCTGCTGGACGCATCTGGACACAGTGATGTCAGGGTCATCTGTATCGGTGGTCACGTGGGCTGTGGCCTGTGACCGCCTTTCTGTGACGTTGGCTTTGGGTCCTGGGCTCCTCTGACCTCGTGACATGGGTCGGGTGTGGTCTCATGTCCTCTGTTCCCTGAAATGGTTCACAGCAGGTCGCTGTCCCTGCCTCCTTGAATATTTACCCGAGAATCAGCCCGAGTCTGGCATTTTCTTTGGGGGAATGTTCCTTCGTAACCACTCCAACTCCTGGAGGAGGAGGGTGACAGCGGAGGTGTCTGTTTCTTCGTGGTCCGGGTGGGAAGGCGTCTCTCTCAGGAGAGCCCCACAGGACTTGCCGAGTCTATGGGCTCTGGCCCTTCTCGGTGTCCTTCTACCCTTTGCTGTGTGCGGGGCTCCTGCTGGTGACGCTCTCTCTGTTCCTGGCATCGTCAGTCTTGTCCTCTTACTTTCTCCATCCCTCTGGCGAGGCCTTCGAGGCTCTGCCTGTATTGTCAGTGGGCCGGGCGGGGGCTGCTGTACGTCTTCCCGTCTGTCGGTTTTCTGTTTGGTTTGCTTCCGGTCTTTACCATCTCCTCCCTCCTGTTTACTTTTCCTATCTGTGCTGTCTTGGCTTGGAACCTTACGTTGTTGATCTCAGGTCCTCTCGTTAACTCACAGAAGCACTTACAGCTACGGTTCCTCCTCCCTGACCCTATTTCACGCTCCAGGGTTCAGTCACCCATGGTCCATTGATGTTTAGAAATGGTAAACGGAAAATTCCTGAAGTGAACAACTCGCGAGTGTTAGACTGCGTGCTGTTCTGAGCAGCATGACGAGATCTCTTGCTGTCCATCCGCCTGAGATGGGAACCGTCCCTTGGACCAGCGTCCCCGTGGCCTGACCATCGGCCCCATAGTAACCGCCTTAGTTATGGGGGGGGGCACCATCATGTGACTTCATGCGTGTTGTCACGGTGGTTCTGCCTGGTAGTTGTTGTTAGCCCCTCACTGTGTCTAGTGTACACACTGAACTTGGTCACAGGTGCCCACTGTAAGAAGAAACACAGTATGTCCGTGGCTCCAGACTATGCAAGGAAGGGTTCAGGCACCGCTGGGGGGTCTTGGCACGTGTCCCCCTGGGTGGGGGGGCAACCGTGTGAGTTCCCCTCCAAGCACCACGTGAGCTACACCTCATAACCCTAGTACATTCTTCTTTCGTGATTACGCAGCTCAAAATATTTTCCGATTTCTCCTTGGGTTTCTCCTTTTGCCTGCTGGGTTGTTCAGAGAGTCGCTGCCTCTCCAGTTTGATGTTTAAACTGCACTAGGTGACGGCAGCACATCCGGGGAAAGGGGTCCTTTTACAAGACTCTGGTCCCAGGCTCAGGCTCCCCACGTAAGGTTCTCACTCAGCGGATGGCGGGCGGGTGGCCCGTGGGGAGGGTCCCCGGGCGTGGGAGGGCCCTGGTGGACCCCGTGTGCTCACACACATGTCCTGCCCCTCAGTGGCACACGGGCTGACGGGCCCATGGACCCCATGGATCAGGCTCCCCTGTGCCGCGTGACAGGCCAGCATCACAATCTCCACTTACTTTTCTGTTTCAGAAACACACAGTAAGGTTTTAATTTACTTGAGGGTCAGGACCCTTATTTTGCCAATCTGACTTGTCTTGTTAGGGCCATGATGTCTTCAAGGCTGTTCTCCGCAGGATGTTGGGGTGTGCTGGAGGGCCTAGGGCACTGGACTCTGTCCTCTGGGGCAGCCCTCCGCCAGCCCCTCCCTCGGCCCAGCAGCCCCCGGGGGCTGGCGCTCAGCTGCGTGGACCGGGACAAGGCATCCCCCGGGAAGAAGCTGCTGTCCGAGAAGAAACTGGTGAGCCTGTCGGTGGGGCGGGGCCTGTCTGCAGCTCCCCCACGGGAAGCTGTTTTCCCTTCTGTCTCTGGCATCTTCCTGCGTCTGATGGCGCCATGGAAGGGACACAGGTGGGTCTTGAAAAGGAACAAGGGCCTGGGCTCTGCAGAGGCTGTCCAGGTGCAGGGACAGCGCTCCAGGTCGGACGGGGCTCTTCCCCACGGCCTGCGGGCCTTCTGCACAGGTCTTCCCTGGCTCCGCAGGACGTGCCCGCGCTCGAGTCAAACTCAGGGAGCTGCGCCTCCGCTCGGCCCCACCTCGCTCGCCCCGAAGCGGGACTCCGGGCAGTGTTCGCGGCGTCGCCTCCCTCACAGTGTGGGACATCAGGCCTGGCCCTCCCCCACCCCCTGGGCTCATCAGGGTGATTTTGGTGATGTTGGCAGACGGTGAAGTCAGTAATTTTAAAATAGCAATTCAAGGTTTTTCCACGTGGTGGTGCCAAATAATCTTTAAATATTTGTGTTTTCTTAAAAAAAGAAAGGTCTGCTGATAAAGGAGTGGGTGGAGGGGCCGGGTGGTGGCCAGACGATGCCGGCGCCCAGCACGAATGGCTCGCTGGCTGGGACCTTGGTGGCCAACCGTGCCGTCCTGTGAGCGGACAGTGATTAAAAAGTAACCTGCTTTGTGTCGGCTTCCGAGCTAGACTGAGCCCCCCCCCCAGGGGCCGGCAGAGACACCTCCCATTGGAAAGCCCACTGCAGGCGGCCGAGGTGCACGTCGGGGGGGCGGAGTGAGTGACAGGTGCCCGGCGCTGTGCTCTCTGCAGAAAAGACACTTCGTAGACCACCGCCGGGTGCTGGTCCGGGGGGGCCGAGGAGGCGACGGAGCGAGCTGCTTCCACAGCGAGCCCCGCAAGGAGTTCGGGGGCCCCGACGGGGGCGACGGCGGCAGCGGCGGCCATGTCATCCTGAAAGGCAGGTGCCAGGGGGCAGCTCGGGCTGGCGCGTGTGACTCAGGGCGGGGAGCTTGGGCCTTCTTATCCTGATGGCACCTTGAGGTCAAAAATTGATGGACGGCATCATTTTTGTTAAATTATGTAGATGTTCACATTTAAATAATGCACCGAAACCCAATGTTGATAGTAGGGGATTTTTAAATTTTAATCTCCAGTGCACAGAGAAGCCTTCCTCTCAGGATCCCCAAGTTCCAGCGAGGCACAGGACAGATGTGGGTGCCGGGGCGGTGTCCTCACGTAGCCCGTTCTGAGCACAGAGGCTCAGTAAACTGGAGACTCAGTCAACACCGTCACAGTGAAGTAGCTGTTTTAGCACCGTAAACATTCACAGCATAGCAGAGTAGCTATCTTTAAGTCGACAGCACGGCTGATTTTGAACTCTTCAGAAATCGCACTTTTTGCAAGAAGGCGAGCGTGTAGCTTCGTGAAGTGGCCCGTGGCCGCCCCAGGGACTTCTCGCCCTCCGTCACCGGGTGTGTCCGTGGTGGCCCCGAGGCGCACGGGGGGCGGGGCCAGTGTGCGGCCCTCCCGTCTGTGGAGCAGAGGAGCAGGAAGGCTTCTCCCTCTAATTCCAGTCGATCGGCAGCTGAAGTCCCTGTCCTCGGTCCTGTCCCAGTACCAGGGCTTCTGCGGAGAAGACGGTGGCAGCAAGAACTGCTTCGGGCGAGGCGGTGCCGCCCTCTACGTCCAGGTGAGCCCCAGCCGCGCCTGCCTGGCACGAGTCTGGCCCCCACCGGGCTCCCCGGGTCCGTCTGTGCCCCCAGAGCTGCGGCCTCCACCTGGCAGCTGTCTCCCATGGCACAGCCTCGGCCCGGGCGTCACACTGACTTTACACCTGTGTGCGTGGGCCCCCCGGGAGTCACAGAGCCACTGCATGTACAAAGAGGGACCCTGTGGGGCCCTGTCCTTCTGGCCTTGCCCAAGAGCCACCCTCCGTCCCCACCCGGGGCCCTCTGAGGGAGGGTCCCCGTTCTCCAGTTAGCTAGGATTCCCGATGTGCCAGCTCACCTCGCGGGGCAGAGGCGCTGTGTGAACAGCCACCTGTGCTTCTATCCTCAGGGGGCGGGGACGTCTTCCCGGAACCCCAGCTGCGTGGAGGGTGCCTGGCTCTGCCTGCCCCACCCCCACCCAACCCGTCCCCGCCCTGAGCTGGGAAAACACACCTGGTCCCCTCCGACGACCCGCTCTCTCCCCAGGTCCCCATGGGCACATTAGTGAAGGAAGGGAGCGAGGTGGTGGCCGACCTGTCGCACCCGGGGGACGAGTACGTCGCTGCCCTGGGCGGGGCCGGAGGAAAGGGCAACCGCTTCTTCCTGGCCAACGACAACCGCGCACCCGTCACCTGCACCCCCGGGGAGCCCGGGCAGGAGCGGGTCCTCTCGCTGGAGCTCAAGACCGTGGCCCACGCTGGCATGGTGGGCATCCCCGGGAGCCCCCGTGGGGGGGCCGTGGGAGACTGGCTCCGGGGGGCGGACCAGCCACTCCCCTCCTCCGGCCGCCCCATGCCCTCGCCCTGGCGGCGCCCGGCCCCAAGACTCACCCCAGCCTCGGTCTGGCTCAGACGGAGGAGGCGGCAGCGTGTCCCCTGTCTGGCAGGTCGGGTTCCCCAACGCGGGCAAGTCCTCGCTCCTCCGGGCCATTTCGAACGCGAAGCCCACCGTGGCTGCGTACCCGTTCACGACCTTGAAGCCTCACGTTGGCATCGTGCACTATGAGGACCACCAGCAGATAGCAGGTGGGCTTCCAGAACCCTCTCGGAAGTGAGGGCTGGGTGAGGTGGGCCACTTGGAGTCTGTGAATCGGGGAGCCAGTGGTTGACAGCCCGCAGGTCCATATCCCCACCAGGGTGTGCGCCTGCCTCCCACCCGCCCAGCTTCTGTCCCCGCAGCCTGGGGCCCCGTGTGCGCATTTCTATCCTGAGGTGGCGGCTCCTTCTCGCCGCCTTCACCTCGCTCCCGAGCTCGGGCGCTCGGTCGAGGGGGGCATAGAGGCCACTCCTGCTTTCACGGCATTCCCGCTCCCGCCCCGACAGGAGGAGACGCTTCCCAGGAGGTGACGTCCTGGGAAAGCGACAGGCCTTCTGGGTGGCCGTGCCGTCCCCACGGCACTTCCTGTTCACCCCACACTCTGTGCGGGCGTCCGTTGGGAGCCAAGGGCCTCAGGGAGCCGGTTCCCCTGTTTAAAATCACATTTGAGGCCAGAAGGACCGGAAGGTGCAATGCCAGAGAATAAATTTCCCTTGTTAGAAGGGCCCGTCACTGCCTGTCACCCAGATATTTCTTGGCATTATGTGAAATTCAAAGCTGAAATGCCTCGGTGGCAATCAGCCTGAGAGTCACCGAGGCAGTAAAGCAGATGACTGAGGTTTAAGGTGTCCCTTGAAGGGAGTGTCTGAGACCCTGCGGACCCTGCCCGTCTCTCGCAGTGGCCGACGTGCCGGGCCTCATCCGAGGCGCCCACCAGAACCGGGGCCTGGGGCTGGCCTTCCTCAGGCACATCGAGCGCTGCGGCTTCCTGCTGTTCGTGCTGGACTTGGCGGCGCCGGAGCCCTGGGCCCAGCTCGAGGACCTGAAGTTCGAGCTGGAGAAGTACCAGCAAGGCCTGTCTCAGCGACCACAGGCCGTCATCGCCAACAAGGTTGACCTGCCGGAGGCACGAGCCAACCTGCCTGAGCTGCAGGCCCGCCTGGGCGGCACGGCCATCGCCCTGTCGGCCGTCACTGGGGAGAACCTGGAGGGGCTGCTGCTGTGCCTCAAACAGCTGCACGACGCACACACGGCCGCCGAGCTGGCACAGGGCCGCCAGCCACTCAGGTGGTAGCAGACCCCGTGGCGGCTCGGGGCTGCAGGGCCGCCTCCCTGCTCTGCACGGCCGCCCGCCACCGCCCCAAAGCCTGCCTGCTCTCTCACTGGCGGGACGGGCTTGTCCCTGTGGTTGGTGCCCGATGCAGCAGGGGCCGCGCTTCGGGTGTGCAGGGCATCGGCCTGGCGGGACTGGAGCCGGGGGCGCCCTCGCGGCTCTCAGCACTAGCCTGCAGGACGGCGGCTGCCCCAGGTGGGCCCGTGAGTCCCCCATTGTCCCCATGGCCACAGAGCATCTGGGGACAGGCCCCGTCTGCAGGTGCCACGCACCTCTCCGACGCAGCTTGTGGAGCTGCAGGGAGGTGAACCCTGCTGTCCCCCGGCTACCGAGCTCAGGAGCCGAGCCGGTGCTGGCGTCACGACTGAGCGCACCCAATATCCGGTCCTGGTCCGTACAGCGGCGGTAGACAGAGGGCGGCTGGGCCCCCGCTGCCCCCCCCCACCTTCCTGATGGCTCAGGAGAGCTTTAGGGGGCTGGCCAGTCTCGGCAGAGTGACCGCTGGGAGGCTGGGGGCACCAGAGGCCGCCCTGCCCACTGACCACAGGCCCGTGAGGACAGCTGGGCTGCAGCTGCCGCCGCTCTTTCACTCCCACAAAACACAGTCACTGTTTCCCCAATAAAGTCTGATGCTGCTGACTTGTCCCCGGGGGTCCTGCGGGAAGGCAGCGGAGTGAACGGCAGGGCATCGGGAGGATGGGCCTGGGACCCAGGGATCAGCCGCGGGGTCCTGGGGTGTCTTTCCTGCTTGGAGCAGTCAGCATGCCGGGAACGGGCTTCCCACCTGCCCCATGTCAGGCGCTGTCCGGCAGGGTCAGCTCGAGTGCTCTGGGAGGTGGTCCCCACACCCGGCCACCTGCTTGGGCCTGAGGAGAGCAGAGACTTTCTCACAGAGGCCCGGCCGGGGCTGGGAGAGTTGCCTGGGGCCTTTCTTTCATCCTAGTGGCTGCGTCCCCACCACAGTGCTGGGCGGAGGGGACATTTAAGCTGCCCGCCCACAGGAGCACCCAGGAGGGGGGCAGGGTCTCTGTCCTGTCCCGGCCATGGCGCCGCGGCTGCTTGTGGAATAGGGGAGTGGCTGGTGGCCGGTGTCAGGTGTGGCTGGGCTCCTTTTCTTTGGAAGGTGTGTAAGTGGCAGGTGGTGGGTGCCGAGTGACACCAGAAACACTGTCCTGTGCCGCTAACACCCTGTCCCCACCACCTCCCTCTGGCCCTTTCCGCCACAGTCATCCACCCGGACACTGTTAGGCCACAGCTTCTTTATCAGCCTGGCCACTACCTGTCCACCTGTCACTGTGGACACGGACTTTGCTCTCTGCCGTTCCCCTGCCCCTCCCCTGGTGGCCTGGGTCCGCAGGGAGGCTGGCCTGGCGTGCACATGGGGTCATGCCCAGCAGCTGACCCCACTTCGCCCTCGGTCATCCCATTCTCCCTCGGCTTCTGGGTGTGGGACAGCGCCTGCACAGCGCCTGCCCCTCCCTGTCGGTCCCACCTCCCTTCCCCCGTCCTGTGGGTGGCAGCCCCAGCCTCTCGCCAGGCAGCTGAGGAAGGGGACCCAGGCTTTGGGGTGCAGGATTTCCTAAGTTCCCCCATTGTCAGCCCTACGGCCCAGCACCCCCATTTCCAGAGTTCCTGTGTCCACACTCCAGGGCTCCCCCAGGGCCACAAGAGGCCTGGGGCTGCAGCAGAGCCCCCCAAAGCCCCCCACAGGCCTCTGGCAGCTCTCAGTCCTCCCCTGGTCTTTGTGGAGGCTGTTGCTTCCGCCTTCCCGTTCTGTCGTCGTGTGGCCTCAGGTAACAAGTGGGCACACACCTGTTCCCAAGTGCAGGAAGGGGAAATAGAGGACGACATGCCTCCTCTGGCCTGGAACCTTCTGTGGGAAGCCCCCTCACCCCTCCGGCAGCCGGGACCGCAGGCACCGGCCAGAAGACCCCGCGGCCTTGGCTCTGCCCGTCTTCCTGCAGGAGCTGGTGCGTCCTGCCTGGAGCCTGCGGGCCTGGCTGCTTCCCGCTGCCCCTCGGCAGAATGGTGTGGACACCATTCAAAAGGAGCCCGGCCCTGAAGGCACCGGGGAGGGGTCCTCAAGGAAGCACAGCCCCTGCCTGCCCTCCCGGCATCTCAGGAACCAGACTTTGCCACACGGGGGTGTGCTGCCCCCACGGCTGGGAGCCAGGGTCTGCTGGACACTGTGAAGACCGCCCAGCATCCACAGTGCAGTCTCTTAAAGGTCCTCGAGTCTGTCTGGATTTGGAAACCGGTGTGACTTTGGGGTGTCAGATGCATTTTTAGCTCAGTGCACTTCCCACAACAGCCGCCCTCCTCCTCCTCACGTCCCTTTCTTCTCTCTCTGAAGGACAGTTCTGTGCCCCGCAGGGTTTGCCGGACAAACTCCCAACTGCAGCATCCCCGGGGCGGGGGTCTGCTCCCCGGGGACAGCGTCCTTCTGTGAGGCCCGCAGGCCCAGCTCGGTGCCCAGGCTCCTGGGGGCTGTCCCAGGATGAGCCTCCGGGACGCGTCTCCCCACTCGGCTCCCACCCTGGGGGACACCGGGAAGGTGCCCAAGGGAGAACCCAGCGGAGGGGCAGGTGGCGTCCTGGCCCCGGCGCCTGCCGAGTTGCGGGGCGGAGCTGTGTCCCCCCCCTTGGGACCCCAGTTCTCCCCTCAGCAGAGCTGAGAGTGCGCCCCTAGTGGGCGTCCACAGGCAGTTCGGTGCTCCCGTGCACGGTGGTGGGGAGTCCTGGTACCCCAGGGCAGTCGAGGCGGGGATGGCGGAGTGCAGGGAGGTGTGGGCCTCCACATCTCGGGGTTCCAGGAGCCCCGTCAGGGTGAGCCCAGCCCCCTCCAGCGTGGCCCTGCCCCCCAAAGGCAGATGATTAACTGGGCCTTTTTAGGAAGGATCAGGGCTTGTCTGCTGGGCACCGGGAGAACTTAGGGTCTTGGTCCCAGACGGGGAAGGGCCCTCACCCAGCACGTGCCCAAAAGCCCTTCCTGGGGCCCCTGCAGCCCGTGCCAGCCCCGGGCCTCGGTGAGCACCCGCCCTGTGCCTCTCAGGGAGCCGCCCCCGCCCCCACCCCCACCCGGCAGCCACAGCCGTGCGTGGAACCCCACCTCCTCAGAAAGGCTCCCCCCTCCGCATGCACGTGAGCTGGGCCGCTCCTCTGGCCCCCGCCCCGTGAGAGCCACCGGCTTTCCTGTTTGTGTATGTGCCTCCTCACTGTGCACCTGGCACACAGTAGGTACTCAGTAAACATCCGCAGCGGGGGGCAGGCAGGGCAGATCAGGCTCTGCCTGCAGCCGGCCGGCGTGGGCTGGAGGAGGACGGCCCCTGGCGTGTGTGTTTGCTGCAGAGCCAGGGCCAGTCCCTCCTCAGCTCCGTCCCCAAGCAGGAGCCCAGCGGCACTTTCCAGAGATTGAAGGCAAAATTGCTTGAAAGCCTGTGCTTTTATCCTCCAATTTGTAGCCATTTAGCGGGCTGGGCGGAGGGGCGGCAAGTGCCCTGGCGGTGCCGTCGGCAAGGAAAGCGGTCCTTTGTCCTTGCTCAGCGGCGCTGGGCTGCAGGGCGGCTGGCAGGGGGCTCAGGCTGGGGCCGGCGGGGCTGCCCGTGGCTAGTCAGCGGGCAGAGCTGCGCGCAGGGGCTCCCCTGAACTCTGGGCCCGGAGACGGTGGTGGCCACCATCCCCACACCACCAGACCCTGGGCTCTCCGCCACCTACGCTCCAGACAGCACCCAGCCTCCAGGGGAGCCAGCAGTCATTAGGGAGGGGCCCGTCGGGACCAGAGTGGTCCAGGGTGTGTGGACAGGGGCGGGGGGCGGGGTGGGGGCCAGCCGAGGAACCTGGAGGAGGTTTTCGGGGTTCTTGGGGAATATTCGGAAGTGCAGTGCAGCCCCCCAGAGTGGGGCCCTTGGTCGGGCGCTTCTCCCCACCCACCCGGCACCCTCAGTCCTGCCTCTGGGCCTTTGCACCGGCAGCCCCCCCACCAGATGTGCCTCTCCAGCCCTCAGGCTCAGCTCCGGCCCCCACACCGCTGGCAGCGCCCCAGATGCCAGGTGGTGGCCAGACAATGACAGCCTCTGGGGGCAGCAGGCTGCTTGCAGGTGGGGCCGGGGGGCGGGGCCCTCCTGGGTGCCCGTCCCTTCCTAAGTATGCTGGCCCAGAGTAACCCTAGTAGGGTGTCCCTTGCTAGGGTTGCTCCCCGCCCCGCAGCGGTCCCCCCATTAGAAGAGAATACTGAGACTGGGGGAGGGGCAGGCCTGTGTCTCGGGCCACCCGCTGAGTGGTCTCATGTCCCTAGGGCTCCACTGAATCCCACCCCCCCACCAAAGTTCTCAGGAATCAGCACCAATAAAAAATACACTTTATCGAGGGCCTCGGGGTCTGCAGGGCCGGTACAGCGGGCGCAGGGCAGGTCGGGCATGCAGGGGGCCACGGTGCGGAAGACATGGCAAAGCGGCCCCCCACTCGGCACCCCAGCTCCCGTCCCCTCTGACTGCCCCACGCGCCTCAGGACCCCCGGGGCAGGGCTGGCGGGGCCTCGCAGACCGCCAGTCCCAGGACAGGCCGGTGGAGCCGCCAGGCGGGCGTCCAGCTTCGGCCGCTCCCGGAGCCGCCAGTCGGGGGGCAGGGGGCGGGAGCAGCTGGCGCAGCCCCGCCGGAAATGAGCCGGAGGCGTGAGGGCGTGGGAGCCCACACCTGCCAATCCTGCCGGATTGCTCTGCAGTCTCGTCTCCTGATTAAACATCCAAGGAACAGCGAGTTCACAGATGTGTTTTCTTCTTTGTCTTCCCGAGACGCCCAGAATGGAACAGCGGAGCAGCAGCGAGTGCCCGGGTGCCGTTGGCGCTCTGGGGCTGTGGGTGCCGGAGGCAAGGGGGCTGGAGGAGCTGGGCCCGGACTGAAGCAGGGGATGGCCGGCAGCAGGACTGGCGGCCCGGGCTCGTGGGGAGCGGGCAGGGAGGGCAGACCCGCGTGCCCAGGTGTGTGCAGTATGTGTGGGACGCGCCCACGGTGGGCCGAGACCCCTAGGCCAGGAAGCGCGGAGCACACACCAAGCGTTTGCTTTGGGAAGAGCGTCAAGCAGCAGTTGTGCGAAGGGTGGACAGCATTGGCCACCACTGTCTGGGGGCGTGGACACTGACTGAGACCTTCCTGGGGTGGACCTAGGACTTGGGGGCAGCACAGGCCACCCCCATGCCAGTTCAGGCAGCAAGCTCGGCCCACCCACCGAGCCGCCCCCAGTGCAGGCAGTTGGTCCAAGAGAGGCCCCCCGTGCGGTGGGCAGTGGCCGAGGACGAGGCAGGGCTCACACTCGGAGGCCGCTGCCCGGGAGGCGGGGCGCGGCCTGGGGGAGCGGCCAGCTCACTTCCAGCCGCGCTCCAGGGGGTTGTGGGGCTGCGCCTTGAGCCTGTGGGGGCACAGCAGCTTGGCGAAGGCGCGGCGGAAGCTGTAGTGACACAGCGGGTAGAGGACGGGGTTCACCGCCGAGTTGGCCCACAGCAGCCAGAAGGACGTCTCGTACCAGTAGTCGGGGACGCAGCGGCCGTGGCAGGCGGCCCGGATGATCATCAGCAGCGTGTACGGGGCCCAGCAGAGCCCGAAGATGCTCACGATGACGGCCAGCGATTTGGCCACCTTCTTGTCCCGCGACAGCCGGAAGCGCTGGGTGATGCTCTGGGACACCATCTTCATGCGCTTCTCCAGTGACGCCGAGGACGCCGAGGGCTTGGAGCCCCTCTTGAGAGAGCGAGGCCGCTCTGTGCCCCGCGAGGAGCTGCCCGAGCTGGACGTGGGCGAGCCCACGGTGCCCCCGCCACTGCCCCCCAGGGCCACCTCCCCGGCCTCGGGGCCGGGGACCGCCTCCCCGACCCCGCACCTGTGCAGGGGCATGGCCTCCCCTCGCCCCCTCTGCCAGCAGCCCCAGCAGCCACGCGCAGCGGGTGGAGAGGGCTGGGCCTCCGGCGGGGGCTCTGGCCCGGCCGCCTCGCGCGCCCCGTCCAGCCGGTCACGGGTGCGCCTCTGGATGTTCAGGTAGATGCTGAGGTTGAAGAAGGTGACGCTGAGGAAGGGGGTGAAGAACTCGAGCGTGGAGGCCGTGATGAGGAAGTACCAGTTGTAGAAGAACTCGGCGTAGCACTGGCCCTCGGGGATGGAGCTGCCGCCCGACAGGTGCTCCCAGCTCAGGATGGCCGGCCCGTACAGCAGGAAGGCCAGCACCCACACCAGCCCCATCTTCCACACCGCCCGCCGAGTGTCCCCCTGCTGGGCCCGGTAGGAGACCTGCGGTGGGGTGCGTGGGGTCAGGAGGGAAGGGACCGAGCCCGGGCCAGCTGGCTGCCACCGGCTGCCGCAGGACGGCAGGGCCGGCTCCTCTCCTCTCTGCCCCTGACCTTCCCCTCCCCCAAGGAGCCCTGGGCTGGCTGATGCCTGTCACACTGTCCTGCGGCCAGGCTGTGGCATGTTTGCCACCCCCCAACTGCAGTGTCCCCAAAGGTGCTTGTTGTCCTCCCTGCCTCCCGAGTACCCACAGGGCACTGGGTTTCGTGTGTGACGCCTTTTGGATATCGCTTCATTTTAACCCTCTCAGTGGCCCTGTTACTGTTCCCACGTTCTTTCCTGGTGGCTCAGCCAGGGAGGGACAGGCCAGGCGCACCGACTAGGGAGGCGGAGCCAGGCCTATGGACCGGACCCCATGCTCTCCCCAGACGGGACACATGTGGCTCCCAAGCAGAGGGCCTGTGGGGTGGCAGATAAAGCCATCGAGGAGAAGACAAAAGGACAAGGACAGACCTATGCTCCAGCACCAGGCACCCTGGCAGCCCGGGGCCCCGGCTCCTAGAAACCTACAGAGCCAGGAACCGACAACGTCTTCTTTCCGGGAGCTCCGGGGCACACAGACCCAGACACCCAGAGACACACACGAGGGGTCGTGCCACCAAGGGCCTCTGGCCCAGACCCGCCCTCAGCTCCCAGGACTTTGAACCTGCCCAGAAGAGGGACATCAGATGGCAGGTCCAGACGCTGCCTGCCACCTGTCCCGGGGCAGCATGTGGCAGCTGAATGGGCAGTGGCCCTACAGGGGCCGGCATGTCAGGTGTGAGGCCGGCGGAGACCAAGCTCACCGGCCGTGCCCGCCACTCAGAAGTGGCCATCCCCTGCCACATGCCTCCTGGGCCACCGCTGACCCCCGGCCCCCAGGGCGTGAGCGCGGCCCCCGCACCCCGACTCACAGCGTGGGTGACGGACAGGAAGCGGTCGTAGCTGATGAGCACGATGTTGAAGACGGAGGACGTGCACAGCAGGTAGTCCACCACCAGCCACAGCTTGCAGAGGCCTCGGCTGAAGGGCCAGCGGCCGGTCAGCACGTAGGGCACGTACAAGGGGATGCAGAAGGCTCCTGTGGGCAAGAGCGGCCGTGCTGGGCCCTGCTGGGCTCGGACCCGCCTCGGCGCCCAGGCAAGCGTGCTGGCTGTCACAACCTCACCTTACTCGCCCGCCCCACCCAGTCTCCTAGACACTCCCCTCCACCCAGGCCCCAGCTTCACTAGCGTCCCCTGGATCTGGGGGTAGGAGGAAAGGTCCTGCGGGGAGCCGGGGGCCTCTGGGTACAGTGAGCCTCTGATCCTGGACTCCATGCTTCCCAGGCCTCTTTCCGTCCAGCCCTCCAGTCCCCAAAGGGAGGAAGAAGGAGAATTTTCTCTGTCTCCTCTGGCCGGCTGGATGCCGGACCCCATCCAGGCTTCCGACAGCCTTCCCCCCACAGCCGAGAAACCAGGAACGCTTTTCCTCGGCTCACAGGGCACTGGCCACTGCCAAGCCCTGCTTGGAGCGTCTCCCAGACGCTCCTCCTCGCAGCCCCAACAGGTGTCTGGCGCTCCAGCCCCCACCGCGGGCGCGCCCCGCCTCCCAGCCGGCAGCAGCTCGGACACGTGAGAGCCCGCTCCCGGGAGCCTCTCCCCACCCCCACCCCTGCCTTTCCCACGGCCCCCTCCCCCAACACGGCTCTCAACCCCCCCATTCCATGTCCACTCCGCCAAACCTCACCCCAGCCCCCTCCGCCCATCCTGAGTCCGCCACAGCCTTTGTTTGGCTACTGCAGGAGCCAGTGCTGCACCCGAGGCCGCTGCGCCTTGCGCCTCTCCAGGCGGCCGCTTGCTCTGGCCCCTTCCCCAGGGACGTCACACCCCAGCCTCCTTACCGCGGCAGGGAGGCAAGGCGCCTAGCCCGCTCCCACCCGCCCACGAGTCTTATACGTGCCCTCCCCAGGCCGGGCCCCCTACAGGGGCGTGTGCCCTAGCAAAAGGCGCCCTAGTTCAGCGCTCCAGTTCCCGCTTCTCGGGGCGGGCGGGGAGCTCAAGGGCGGGGGTTGGGGGCCTCACCCACGAGGAAGTCGGAGATGGCGAGGTTGAGCAGAAAGAAGTTGTTCTGGGTGCGGAGGCTCGAGTCGGCCACGAAGGCGAGCATGACCAGCGCGTTGCCCAGCACCGTGGCCACAATGAGCAGCGCCATGAGCGCGGCCAGCACCGCGGTCCAGGCGGCGGAGAAGCCGCGCGTCCCTGCCGCCGCCGCCGCCGCTTCTTCAGCCAGCGCCCCCGACGCGTTCAGCGGCCCGTCGGGTGGCGCGCGCTCCATGGCCCCGCCGGTTCACGCGGCGCCGGGGCGCGGGGCAGGGTGAGGACCGACGGCCGGCCGGCCGGGAGGGGCCTGGGGCCGGGAGCCTGGTGTTTGCGGGCTTTCGGCCGGGCCGGGTTCCCCGGGGGATGCCCCGCGCATGGTCCGCGGGCGCCTAGGCCGGGGCGGTCGGCGCCGAGGGAACGGGCAGATTCCGAGCCAAGTGGGGCCAGCGGCACGACCGCTGCAGCCGAAGCGGGGCAGGAGCAGAACCAGAGCCCAAGCCACTGCCGGAGCGACTGTGCGCCCCGAGCGCAGCGCGCTACCAAGTGCGCCCGGTGCCCAGCCCGCCCAGCCCCGCGCAGCACCCCGGCCATTGGCTGCAGCCCTCGCCCCGCCCTCGTCCCGCCCCCGCCCCTCCCGGCGCCGGCAGCACCACGGACAGCGCCGCGTGCCCACCGGCCGCCGGAGCCCAGCCCGGGTGCGCTCGGCTGCAGGCTGGGAGCCGGGCCGGGAGTGGCGGGGGCGGGGCTGTTGTGCTGTCAGCGGACCCCCTGCGCACAGGGTCGGGTCTCTGGGCCGCTCGGCCTGCCCCGTGCCCTCTCGGCCCCGGGGATCAGGGGCTGGCGCCTGTCGGCAGCCGGGAGGACTGTGGGGACCCTGAGTGGGGGTGGGGAGAGCGCCTGCACCTGCGTTCAGGGGCCCCTGCGGCGCTGGACCCTCCTTTTTCGTTCTTGGGTCAAGCGGGTCTGAGGGAAGAAAGGTCTTTAAGAAAAAGGATGGGAGGGGTCTTCAAGGGCCTGCGCCCTGGCCCGTCCGCTCCGCTCCCCATCTGCGTGGGATTCTGGGCTTCAGTCTTCCCACGGGCAAGGCCCAGCACAGAGCCCAGGGTGACCCACAAGGCGCAGAAAAATGTGGAGTTACATAAGGAAAGACGAGGGGCCAGCAGACCCCGCGGAGAGGGGAGCGCGCCCACCCCACCGGGGCGCAGATGGGGGGCCTCGGGTTGAGGGGGGAGCAGCCCGAAGCTCGGAGCCCAGCTCCAGGCCCCCCAGCGGACAACGCGGTGGCGTGGTCACAGCTGCGTGGACAGACCAGGTCCCTGCGCTAGGGCGCAGCCAGGCGGCGGCTGTTGCTGCGTTAGCGCCTGCGGGGAGGGGTGGGGGAGGAGACGCTAAGAAAGGCCGCGCCCCTCCTCTGAGGCACGTTCGGACAGACAGGGTCAAGGACAGATTCCGCGGCAGACACAGCCAGACGGACAGACACGCCCACAAACAGACACACGTGGACACCCACAGACCAGGGAAACAGCCAGTCAGCAGTCAGTCTGGGCGATCGCAACGGCAGTTAGGCACACGCATCAAGTAGCCACAGCGAAGGCAGCAGCGTCGGAGGGGAGGGAAGCAGGGACTCTCCGTTCCCGCCGCCGACCACCGGGGCCTCAGAGACGCCGCAGGGGGCGCGTCTGCCTGTGGGTGGGGGCGGGGACACCGGGCAGGGGCGCTGGTCCACACTGCGCTGTCCTCCTGTGCTCACGGCAGGTTCCAGGTCCTACAGGACCGTCCCTCCTCTGTGCCAAGTGCTTCCGAAACTTTGGAGAGTGGGGGCTGGGCTGGCCGCGGGGAGGAGCCCCCAGACCCCGCTGAGGGGGACCCACTGTTCCATCTCTTCTTACAGCCTGTGCTGGGGCGCCACAGGCGGCTCTGGCTCACCCTCCCCGAGCCCTGGGAGGACCCAGCCGTGCCCCTCCTGCCCACCAGCAGGGCCTGCTCCCCTGACCCACTCCCCCAGCGGCCAGCCCTCCACACACACCACATGTGATGGGTGGGCGCTGCCACGTGGGGACTGGGCACCTATTCCGGCAGAGGTGACAAGCCCTCCTGTGGTCTGTGAGGGCGGCTGGACCCAGGGCTCCCTCCATAAAGCCTCCCTGAGCCTCTGGACCTGGGTTTGCTCCGTCTCCCGCTCCCCACGGCTGGACCCCACCGGACCCTGCTTCTCCCTGAGGCCTGGCCTTGGGAGGCTCATACACTCACTGGCTGGGACGCCCTGCCCGGGCTGGGGTGCCACCTTGGGGAATGTGTGTGGCTGCTTACCGTCCGGGGTGAAGGGCCGAGTCAAGGGGGAGTCCGCCTGGCGGCTGGCTGCTCCTTAAAGTCAGTATTCTGGGGCTCTCCCTGGTGGCCTCTCACCCCGCAGCAGCTGGAGTGGGGGCTGGGGTCAGCTGGCCCCAGGCTCTGGGGGTCCAGCTGTGAGACTCAGGGTCCAGAGACCTTCCTCTGTGGATCAAGGCCTTCAGGAGAGGGCCAGGCTGGCCCAGGGGTCAGTGCCCCCTCTTGGCCCTCACATGCATGCCCTCATTAGCCCCCCGATCGCCCTGGGACGTGGGTAGGACCAGGGGGCCCTGTATGGAGCTGGACACCACTGCCCAAGGTCACATGAGGCTAGTGCCCCTCTCTTAATGGCCACACTCCTGGCCAAGCCCTGAGGTCAAGGCCCCTGAGGCCAGCAAGTGCACCAACCCTTGGGGTCTAGTGTCCAAAGGGCATCTTGCCTTGAAGCCATCTCTCCCAAAGAGTAGCTATCCAGGCCCCAGGATGGCGGGAACCCTTGAAAAGGCTGGCGGAGGGCTGGGGTAGAGGACGGGCCCCTACTCACGGCTCACCCCGACCCCCACGGAGGGAGTGGTCAGCGGTCCAGCTTCTCCATCGTTGAAACAGCCGGTGTTTGGGGAGCGACATGTCCAGCCCAACAAGGAGGGTGGTGGGTGAATGCCCCACTCGCCCTCCACCCCCAGCCAGTCAGCCAAACCAGAGCCTGCAGCCCACCCTCAGGAGTGAGCTTGCCCACCAACGGGGTGACTGTCCATCCATCCGTCCTCAGGTCTCGCCGAGCCAACCATTGAGCACCTGCCATCACTGTGAGGGAGTGGCCCGCGCACACAGTCCTAGGTGATACATTTGCAGGCGCCAGGCACTGGGGGCAGGAGGGCACATGGCTGGGCCTGGGGCCCCTGTGCTGCTTAGCCCCCACTTCAGCAGAGCCTGCCACGTGGGCCCAGGGGACTCCTCCTCCCAGTGGGCGGGACTTCAGGCTGCTGAAAGGACCCTGGTGAGAATATCTCTGGGCTCCGAGCACCTCTGAATGTCCACCCCGCCAGCCACACAGACCTGCTGAGCCCCTCGTGTGGCATGTTTTCCAGAAGAAGCAATCGCTGGCTGATGGCGAGGTAGCCAGGTCGGGTCCTGCAGACTGGACAGCCCTCACGTACCTGCTCAGAGGTGGGTTTGCCCGTCCCCCACCCCCACCCTGTCCATCCGGGGGCTCGTTGGAGCCTGCCCACAGGTGTGGAGTTCCGTGCAGCCCGGGGCCCTCTTCCCTGATGAGGACGCACTAGTCATGTGACCCTCCGTCTCCCCTTGGAGAGAAGGGCCTCCTGAGGGCACAGTGGTGGAGGTGGGTGCCGCCCTGCGGGATGCGGCCTGACACTTGGTGTGGTGTCTCCAGCAAGAAGAGTCTGAGCATCCGGGGCCCAGGGTGGAAGCCGGCCTGGCCCCCCAGTAGCCTGCCCCCCCCCCCCCCGGAAGCCTGCCAGGGACCTACTGGGGAAATTGTGCCTCGGCCCCTCCAGGCTCTGCAGGGTTAGAGGTCCCCCGACAAGGGCCCACAGGGGTCTCTCCGCACTCAGCTCCCGCTGCCTCCCAGGGGTACTGAGCCCCTTGGCCGGGAGCAGCGGGCAGGAGGAGCCAGTTCTCTCGGGGCTGACTGTCCCCATCGGCGGGAGGAGGCGGGGCCGGGGCACACACACAGGATTCAGGCCCCCTCTGTGCCATGGTGTCCCTGTGCGATGGACACTGTGGCAGGACCATGAGGCCCCCCAGCCTGGGAAGGAACGTTTATGGAGCTCAGACCTGAAGGAAGGAGGGCGCGGGCCTGGCCCAGGCCGGCCGCTGCCCCTGCAGAGGTGACGGCTGAGGTGCTGTCGCCCGGACAGGGGTGGAGGAGGGGACAAGCATCATCCGTTTGGTCCCCTCTTCTGCAACCCCCCCGGGGGAGAGGCACCCCTGCAGGGGTCCCCATGAGCTGGGGACAGAGCCCACAGCACCGAAGGCGTGCTGTGCAGAGGTCCCTTCTGGTGAGGGGGGCAGCTGTGTGGTCCTCCAGCTGCGGATGCTGGTGGCAGATGGGGCAAGCACCTGGCCAGGTCCTGGGTGTTTGTCTCTCTTTTTTTTAGAGAGAGGAAGGGAGAATGAGAGAGAAACATCAATCGGTTGCTTCCCACACGGGCCTCAACCAGGGATGGAACCCCCAACCTTTTGGTGTATGGGACGACATTCCCGTTGATGGGGCGACCTGGCCGGGGCCGTGGGGGTCTTTGGAAGCTGACACATGAGGGGTGTGAGAGAAAGACAGGGGTCACGGCTGACTGTGGGGTTTTGGCTCCTTCGTCCCAGAGAACGGCACTGAGGCTGAGGAGCGGAGAGCCGGTGGGAGAAGCTGGTGGGGGCGGGGTGGGGAGGTGCTCTCGTTGGAGAGCGTCCAGCTTGGTGCCGAGGGGACCGCTGCAGAGGAGGCTGTCAGGCCACCAGGAGGTAGGGTCACCAGTGTCAGGCCGGCAGGGCGCTGTATCCCGCGTCCCCTGTGTCTGGAGCTGTCACAGGGCAGCAGGCTCTGCCTGCACCCTCTCCCTGTGCTAGAAAAACCTTTCTCTTCCGACCACAGCAGGCCTGGCGCTGTTCCCGAGAGCTCTGCCCCTGTGCATGGGGACACGGCCCACTAATGAGAAATAATGCAGGAGCTGGGTAGCTGAGGCCAGCCGCCCGTGGCTGTCCTGCGCCCCGACATGGCCAAGGCCAGCCCTGCCACGACCCTCTGTAGGGAACAACGTCTGCTCTCCCCTGCAGGCTCATTTCAGCACAGAGATGCAGATTTTCCTTTTTTTGTTCCTTGTCTTTTTTTTTTTTTCCTGATGACATTCTGAGCTGGCTTCAGGGCAGCCTGAGGCTCTCTGGGGCAGGGCGTGATCAGCCTGGAGGCCACTGCTTTGGAATGAAAGTCTGATGACCCGACCTTCAGGGCTGACTTGGGCCAGAGTCCAGGTGGCCCCAGGAGGGAGAGGACAGGAGATCCGGGGGGACACAGCTGCTGTGGTGGGTTTGTTGTCTGAATTGGGGAAAACCCAGGGCAGGGGGGACTTCAGACACGGCTGCATCCAGGGGCTCGGACAACAG